TGAGTGGCGCTTTCCGTGAGTAGTTACAAAGTGGAGACGGAGTATTGAGTCCACAACTTGAGCGTTTTTACTGGTTACGTTCCTTATAATTTATACTATCTCCGTTCCTAATTATAAAACCAGTTGACTAATTTGATGAATTTAAAAAAAAAACAAGTTAGTTATTTGTCATAAATAGATGTCGTCTTTCCTAAAATATCCTTGTTAATCAAGTGTATTGGCTAGAATTACTATTGTTAGAAGGACTATCTTAGAAAAAAATATATAAATATTATAGACGAAATAGATTGGGGTTTTATATTAGAACTAAAATAAAAGTCAAATGAAATCCTATATTAGAACAAAATGTAGTATATATACTAGATAGATACCAATACCCAAGTTTATGTATCCCCCCAAAACAAAAAAAAAAAGGTGTATTCAATCATCCATAATATAACAGCAGAGCCCACTCGAGCTTTCAACGTCGTGTTCTCCAATATATATCACTATTTATGTCCACGTCAAAAATTAATGAATCCTATTAATCCGTTATTGTCATTATTTTCACTCTAGCTGTATATTTCTAATTTCCGTTGCGTCTGCATTAGCGTTGCTAGCACAAGAGTACTCTAGTCTCACCCTCCATGCATGTTGCAATTAAGTATACATAATAAGTTTGTCAATGGGGACCATATATATTATGTACAATTGTTGAGTGCGTGTGAATACGTAATGAAATGATTGCGGTGTAGCCTGAATCGTGAGGACCCATCCCAACAGGTGAGTGCAAAGAGGAAGGAATCTAGAGAAAGTACCATCTCTGGTTGTTGATATAAGAGCTAGTTTGACTTTTAATTTTGTCTTAAATACAAGAACTCAATTCACCTTGTGTTTCATATTTATCTATTTTTTTTAAGTAATCCTCATAGTAATTGTACGTGATAAAGATTCTATCAAATGGTACTTCTAGCTAATACACATGATTAGCAAGGGTATTTTAGGAAAGACAACATTTATTTATTATAAATAACGAATTTAGCAAAATTTTTTAATCTACTCAAATTAGTTAACTAGCTCTTACATTAAGAATCTGAGGTAGTATTATAGTTTCTGTGATCATGATTCTTGTTATGAATACAATATTACATATTTCAGGAAGCTGCCAAATTAAGGGTGTGTTTGGGTTACACCCCAAACCATGGTTTGGGGACCCAACCATGGTTTGGGGAATAATCTACCCAAACACCCCCTCCAAAAACCAAAACCATGGTTTTGGGTCAAAAACCATGGTTTTGACTCCAAAACCATGGTTTTGGAAAAAAAAAAGCAAAATTTTTTTGCTTTTTGAGAGAAAAAAGGGAGAGAGGGTGAGGGCCTATATGATATGTATCTTGTTATTTTTTTTATAAACAATTTTTATATAAATATATTTAATCTTATATGTTATAAATATATATACACATTATATTATTTATTAATTATATTATCATGTATATATATTATGTTTTAGTTTTTGGTAAAAAACATATTATAACAATTTTATTCATTCAAATTAAAAATATATCATAAAATCTATTTTTCTGTAATTATCATATTAACTTATGTCTTTTTTTTAGTAATTTGTATATATATAAAAGTGCTTCTGATAACAACTATCCAAACACTCTCACTTCTCAGAATCACTTTTTTACAAAATCTATTCTTCACAGAATCTATTTTCCCCAGAATCTATTCTCCAGAATCACTTTTCCAAACCACGGTTTGGTTTCATCCAAACACACATTAGAAAAGGGAAATGGGGAAATGGATGGACCAGTAGTTTTGGATTTTAATAAAGTAATAAAATAATGGGAGGAAGTATCCAATCCTGGGGGTATTACGTGACTCATACAACACATACAGCTTACCACATTCAATTTGCTACGCCAACAGTCTCCCGCCCTCCCTTTCTCCCCAGGTCCTTTTCTTTTCTTTTCTCTTTTTTTTTGGTGCTCATCCCAAATAACATCGGAATACTCATTCTTGCAGTGACATCTAGATAGGAAACATATCTTAAAAGAATAACGATCAGAAAATTATTCTTATTTCAAATTTTAGACAAAAAAAAGCTATTAAGAATGTAAAATTAATGAAATATTAAATATCAATCATTCAATTTTATTCTCAATCCATCACCCAACTCACAAGTACTGCTTTCCTTTTTTCCCCCTCACCCGTCCGTATATTTTTCTTACTTCTCCGCAGTACATTGAACCACCCTCTTTCCTGGGTTCGTCGGATGAATAATTAATTGGTACGCGTACATTTCAAAATAAATCGGCTCATATCCCGAATCCGATATGTAGTACTCCTCCGGTCCTAATCTTATTTATTATAAATAATCAACTTAACTTGCTTCCTTAATCTCCTCAAATAAGTCAATTGGGTCTTATAATTAGGACCGGAGGAGTATATTAATGAATTTCTTCAGCGTGGACACAAAATTGGGTCAACGCGTGGCACACGAAACACATAGCGCAATACTTTAGATCCAAGCTTAACCAAAAGAAGATCCTGCCACCAAATGTGAGATATCGTGCTGGAGGGAAGAAGAAGAATGGGTCTTCATATCATCGCACTAGCTAAAAGCCTAAAAGACCGGCTAGCTAGCTAGTTATTAGCGACACCCCCAATGTTCCTATTGTCCACTAATTTATAAGGAATCGACATATACATATTTATGATCAATAATAATAGTAATAATAATTAGGCACTCATGACTTATATAATTGCGGGGATGTGAAGTTATTAGAGAAGTAGAGGTGTTGGTGGATCTACCAATGGGTGGGAAATTTTCTTTCAGGTTGGTGCATGTAGATCTTTTCAGGTTCTGTGGAGGGTTATATACAGATTAAGGGGGTAACTCAATGGCTCACCTACTAGTGGACCATATCTTAATGGAGACGCTCCATTTGGTCAATGATTTTGGATACGCTTTTCATCACTAACTAACATTTTAATAGTGTCATCGAGGCAACTCCCATCCAAGAGAATCCCCGAAAAAAAGTCTAATCTTACCAGTTACCAGTAATGTCACAACAACATATACAAGCCATCCATCTTAACTACCATTTTTCTTGCGGTTTGGTTTTAATCAAGTTGGGATTAGATCTACGTATGTACACATATTAATTAACCATTGACATCATGTGATCTGTTCCCTTCCGTCAAATAAATGCTAGTTTGTTAGTTCGGAGTGTTGGGTGGGTGAGTTTTAGAACTATCATGTTCCAAAGATGAGCACTGTGTGTGTGTGTGAGTGTGTGTGTGTCAATGGACCCATATCGTCTAGAATTCGAATACATATTATTTATATGCGCATCACATTAATTCATTAATTCCTCCCGTTCACATTATTCAGAGATCATCAAACAATAATTACGGTGACAGATGCAACCTCCTCAACCTATCGTGCTTTGAAAATTAAGAAGCAATATATATGAGAGGAACTAAGGAGTACTCCCAAGTAGGATAGTGTAAAATATAATTTTGGAATATAATCGCTTATCATCGATCATATGGAATTAATAAGATGTGAGAGAGAGAGAGAGTGTGTGTGTGTGAGTGAGTGATTGGTTGGTGAGAGAAGAGGGACATGCTTTTAACGTGGAGGGCCACTATGGTTTGCAATGGGACGTGCAAATTGTACACAATTAGCTTCATTGACCTAATAATAATAATAACTTCATCCCAAACCTAAACCCCAAACAACAGCGTGTGAAGTCGATTACTCTCAACGTAACGTTAACAGCACCAAACCCCCCTCTTTAACTTTCACTTCCAATTCCATCTCTCACTCTCTTCTTCATCTGCTTGTAGTGTTTGGATGGAATTAAAATTATGGTTTTAAAAGTGCTTTTATAGCATACGAAGTAAATATGTGAAAGAGTTTATCTCGATTTACAGAAAAGTACTTTTTAGAAGCACTTCTAGTGCTATCCAAACACTCCGATAGCACCCACTATATGTGCTCACACTAATCAACTAATTAATCACATCTTCTATTTCTTCGTCTCCCTAGCCAGCTAATTTTAACCTAATTTCGTTCCCTTCCATCATGCATGCTCAACTCATCTCAACCCGCTGCTTGTTTCGTCACTGACACGACCACCAAAATGATGAATTACTTATTCCTTCGTAAACGCTTCAATTGCTAATCAGTGATTCAGTTCAAGCAATATTTTTCAATCCCAACAAATCATCAATCACTTATATTATATTATGCCTACCCACCTTACGATTATCGCCTCTAATTGCAACCCCCCCCCCCCCCCAAATCTTTAAATATTTCTTTCTTTCAGTGATCCTTATTTACTACTTTCATTTTAATATGTCATCCTGTCTAAATCACCTTAAAACTGAATTGAGTAGAAACTGTGTATCACGCACCCTTCTCTCCCAAAAAAAAGAAAATGTCTTTCTTGCCCCTCCTAGCCAATTAAGCGTCTATACTATTTTGCCAACTAATTCATTTTAAATTATAAATAAAAATAGGTAGAAATACCTAATGTGTCACATAATGATAGATAACAACGTTATGGATATTATAAATACCTATGCCAATATGATACGTAACATAACATTCATTTTAAAAAATTATAGAATTTCAGCGTGCAGATAATTAAGCTTTACACAATGCCCATAATCTAGCCATATTAATGTGCATTATATAAAACTTAAAATAAATTATACTAGTACTATTCAAAAATTAAAAAATAATATTTTCGGCAAAAAGGTCAAAAAATAAATTACTTAAACTTATGTACAACTCGGCTCAAATACGCAGAAAATTCTGGTTAAATATATGGAACGAGTAAAGACAACATCACATGGGAAAAAAAGTGCGGCGAGAAACGAAGCGTGGAGTGAAAGCGCGTGAGGAAAGAAGGTAGGCGGGTTCTGTTTTTTTATTTGGTGAGGACACAGTGACATCCATACAAGTTTGGAAACGCAAGGAAGATTTGGGGTGGCAGGCTGTTTCAGAGTTAGTACCTGTTTGGAAAGAGAACAGCGACGCCTCCTTTCATCTATAACAAACCCATTAACCCACTCCGTCCCAATTCACTCTCTCCCATGTATCTCTCTCTATATAAATATATGTGAACCCCTCACTCTCTCTTTAAACCATCCTCTTCTGGTATTCCCTCTTTCTCAAAGTACTCCTCTGGCCCCAGAAATGGACATGGATGCCGCAGAGCAGCTTGTGGGGTCGTCCACCTCTCTTAGCGTCGCCAAAGGCAAACGCACCAAACGCCACAGGCCCTTGTCCGCCGCTCTTGCCCACTCCACCTCCTCCTCTGCTTCTGCCGATGATTATACTTCCTTTAATTCCTCCGCCTCCACCACTTTTGACGGCGCCGAAGATGATGACGCAAGACATGGCTAATTGTTTGATTCTCTTGGCTCAGAGCGGTGATGCTCCTCATAAGGAGCATCCCGCCACCAAGAACATCAGTGGCTTCTACGTCTACGAGTGCAAAACTTGTAGCAAATCCTTCCCTTCCTTCCAAGCCTTGGGTGGACACAGAGCAAGCCACAAGAAACCTAAGGTTGAGCCCCCGCAACCACTCACCGCCCAAGTCATGAGTTTTGAGTCTGAAGAAGGAGGGGAAGATCAGTTCAAAAGCACTCTCAGATTTCTCTTCAATTAGCGCCCAACAAGGCTTTCCACAGCAACAAGGCAAAGATTCATGAGTGTTCCATATGTGGGTCGGAGTTTACGTCTGGGCAAGCACTGGGCGGCCATATGAGGAGGCACAGAGCATCGGCCAACACCGCCGCCGTGGAAGTGAAGCCCAGGAGCGTCCTCGAATTAGATCTTAATTTGCCGGCGCCGGAGGACGATCTGCGGGATTCCAAGTTTCAGTTTTCACCCGCGCCGAAATCTCTGGTGCCGTCGGCTCCGGCTCTGGTGGACTGTCATTATTGAAAATGAGAGAAGGAAGTTTTCTTTTTTTTTTTTTTTTTATAAAAAAACTGGGAAGATGCGGGGGGCGAATGATCAATGTGAATTATGAAATAGAGCGTTTGTTTTAAATTCAGAATCATCAGTTAGCATGGATAATTATGGATTCTTTGGACGATTCATTCAGTTTATATTTAATAGATGACACAGTGTGTTGTTGGAGTTAGAATACTTTGAGTAAGTAAGTTGGCCAGAGCTGTTGTTGGGTTGCCTTTGATTCACGAAAAGGGAGTGATGGGCGTCTTTTTTCTTTTTTACGGTGTCCTCACAGAGTTGCAATATTCTTCATTCGTAAACATTTTTTATCGACAAGAAAGAGAGAAATATATTTAAAGAAAAACAGGGAGAATAATAAGGAAGGAAGCAGGGGAAAAGAGAGAGAGAGAGAAGGCACGACATAGCCAGGGCATGGCGCATCCACAGCCACAGCCACAGCCAAAAGTGGTGGATTAGGTTCCCTTTGTGTGCTCTTCATTTGATTTAATATGTGAAATAATGCAAACAGATCTCTTTCTCTCACCCTCAGTCCCTCTCACTCACACACACTCTGTTTCATTCAATGGCAAGAAAGAATAAAAAGCACAAGCAAACTGCATTCATAAATGCCAGACCCCCCTTCCCACCTCTCTCTGTTTTTTTTCTTTTAGCTCATTATTCTATGGGTGGCTAACTACGTGCTGCTCAGCGGATAATATGAAGATGAAAGTGAGAGGTGAAATGGAAATAGATGTGGGGGGGGGGGGGGGTTCGGGGGTACAATTGTAAAATGGGAGGTACAGAGATAGGAGGATGAAGTGGTGGTGAGTGAGAGTGTAAAAAGGTAGAAGTTAGTTAAGTGCACGTTATGGAGAGTGGGTGGCAAGCGAAGCATGTGGACACATAGCCATTGCGTGAGCTGCAGGATTTTGCAAAAAAACAATCACTCACTTCACTTCCTTGCTTACACATTACTCCTTCGCATTACCACCCACCATGTACTTTTTGGGAGAGCTTCCCTTCTTCTCATGTAACCGCCCTTTTACTCCTCGTCTCGCTGTTGTAATTTGTTATCCTAATTGTTAGATTTTTGGGTTTGGATCCGCCCTTGATGAGCCGGATTATTTGACCCGGTATAAAGAGAATATATCAGTCAAATATCCAAGCGATATCATGATATGTTTGACTTGGTCAAACATTCTGAATCATATCCAATCGGTTACGATATAAATCTAATTAATTTATATTAAATTAATTAATTTATATTGTATAGATTAAATAATATTAAGTATATATATTTAGAATTAATTAAGATTGATTCTGGATTTGAATTCAAAATATCATGATATTATGAGATAAGGATATATTATATCTTATCTCAGATTTATCTGATGGGCTCAGTGGATATTTTTATGCTACCCAAAATATCCCTGACAAAAGCTATAAATAGAGGCTTCCCCCCATCAGTTCAAATCACTCCAGTAGTAGAGCTTTCCTACTATCTCTCTCTCTCTTAATTTTCTTTCTTGCAAAAGTGGTGCTCTGCTGTGCACTTAAAAGCTCAGACTTTTATAGTCTAGCTTAAGCGTGAGCTAAGGAGATCTGATCGACCCGACCCGAGATCCGACCCGGTATGTTTTCGATCCATTCTCATATTTATCTTACACTAATTATCCTCAAACCCAACTTACCCCCAACAACCTAAGGACCCCCCATTTTTGTGGGATAAGGAAGAGCAAGTCATGCAAGTGTGGTGTGTGACGTGTTTTCCAAACTGGACAGCTGTCGTGTGTGGAAGAGCGACAGGTGGGTGTGAGCATTAATTAATAAATAAGGCTAACAACTCAGGGAGGGAGGGAGAGAGGGAAAGAAAGAAAGAATATAGTGAATGTGGGGAGTCCGATGTGGGGGGGTGATTGGTGAAAGGGACGAGACAGATGGCTCGTATATGTGCACGAGACATGGATGAGTTGGCTCCAAGTGGGCCCAGTGTCTTGTTCGGAAGCCCAATCACGAGCAGGCATTCGCCGGCTTTTCTACTTCCAACGCATCCCTTTCATTTTCCATTTCCTCCTTCGCTGCCTTTATCCCCTTCATTTAACGTTGTTCGGTTCCTAGCTGGTTGGGCTAATGAAAATAATTTACGTGCTGGACTTCACTTCTAGCCTTCTTTAACCTTTTCTTTTTTTAACAAAATAAAAAGACAGTGGTTCTTATTTTTCATTCGCTCCGGTCCGGTATATCCTCCCTAAAATCTACTCGCACGTGGACCCCTAATTTCTCACATGCACATCAATAACAACGAGAGGCACGTTAATGCGGATATTTCAAATTTCTGAATCAATTTATTTTAAGTGTACAAGATAAATATATGAAAATGAAAAATGGGCTAGATAAGCAAGCTCAATTTAATGAAAAGGTCAGAATAAGAACAGAAAGGAGTTTGTATCGAGTTAGTGAGTTGGGCCCAATTCCAATCCCACGCCAGGCCCAAGTATGTGTTGGCTCTGAGGTTTCGCTAAGACCAACGATGATGATTTAGATGCTGACTGGCTGAAGAACCAATGAAAGTGAAAATGAAAAACCAAGGGAAAGGGGAGAAAAAAGAAAAGAAAAAGCAAATCAACATAACTTATTGCCCAGGGTTATTCGAGATCTTGAGCAGCTAATGGGGTTTGAATCGAGTTGATTTCTGCCTTAACGTGTCTTGGTTGACGTGAAATTAGTAATTGAAGAAAATCAGTGAATAAAATTATATTTTCAAACAGCGATCCAGGCGCGGGGGCTGGGGACAACTGGACAAGTAGCAGTGACCGAGGGTTGAGGGCCGCTAAAAACTCCTGTGCAGATGCTCATTTCCTTGGTTGATCTCTGGATTAAAAAGGAACAATCCTTGTGGAACTAAAGAAGACAAAGCAGGGCATCCGGTTGCTGTGGTGTAGTGGTTATCACGTCAGTCTTACACACTGAAGGTCCCCAGTTCGATCCTGGGCAGCAACATTTCCGTTCGTTTTTTGTTATGAACCTGAAATGTTGCATTAAAAGACCAAAAATGTTTGAGGCCATTTTGCATTAAAACGCTAGGACAACCTTTTTTTTTGGCCAGAATATGGCAGCTTAATTTTTAATAATATAGATCTGTGACTTGCCATGAACCAAAATATATAATTGTCTGTAAAATAAAAATTGAGTTATATTTAAAAGAATAAAATGCTGAACATTTAGATGGCTCCTAGCAAAACCGGCTCTAAAAAGGTTATTTATCTTTGATTAACATATCAATATGCATTAGTGTTGTATTCAAGAGAATATTGACTTCAGAGAAGTTTGATAAAATAATATTAAATTTTACTTTTTATTAATTTGAAAGACTTTAAAACAAAGTTAATTTTAAAACAGAGGGAGTATACTATAAATTATAGAGAAAACCATAAAATTAATAAATCATAACTATTAAATCATTGACTTCATTTAAAGACGGGCTCAATAATCATTCAAATTTATTTCAACTTCTGCGTTTTTTGCAAACATTTCCGGATCCCGCCTTCATCCTTCCCGCCAAGCAGAACAAAAGATTCACAAAAAATGACGAATGATTCCAATCCGTCCGCTATGGAAATCAAAGATCTAACCCTCCACGTCACCGATCCGAACTTATCCCACCAACGAATCAAATCTCTTGGCCATCTCCCATATATACGCGTGAACATTCCACTCCTTTCACCAAACAGCGTTCCGTTTCTCGGATTGATCATCGTTGTTGTTGAAAATCAACTTTCTGACAATGGCAAAGGCAGAGAAAAAGCCGGCAGAGAAGAAGCCTGCGGAGGAGAAGAAGACCGCTGACAAGTCTCCGGCGGCTGCGGAGAAGAAACCCAGGGCGGAGAAGAAGATAGCTAAAGAAGGTGGTGCTGATAAGAAAAAGAAGAGGTCGAAGAAGAGCGTGGAGACTTACAAGATTTACATCTTCAAGGTGTTGAAGCAGGTTCACCCGGACATAGGAATTTCCAGCAAGGCCATGGGAATAATGAACAGCTTCATCAACGACATATTTGAGAAGTTAGCTCAAGAGTCTTCGCGCCTAGCGCGCTACAACAAGAAGCCGACCATCACTTCCAGGGAGATCCAGACCGCAGTGAGACTGGTTCTTCCCGGAGAGCTGGCGAAGCATGCTGTTTCTGAGGGTACCAAGGCTGTTACCAAATTCACAAGTTCTTAGGATTTTCTCTGTTATGTATTTTCTCTTGTTAGGGGTTGTTTAGGTATTAGATGTACGAATCCAATGTTTCACTACACTTGTAAACTGTGGACATGTTAGGCCAAGTAATTTCTTTCTCCTTGATGCAAATGAAGCTCTAAGTTGTTAGTTCCCTTATTTTCAATATTTTCTGTTCTTATTCTCGGCCTTTTTCCCTTTCGGAGCAACGGGGCGATCAATTTCGACGCGCAAATGTCGAGTATTTGACTAATGGCCTGTTAGTTTTGGTTCCAGACTTCAAATTTTGCAGTTGTATGTAGTTCAAGTACTGATCCTTGTTGAGGAATCATATGCCACAATCATCAACAGAAGGGACCATGGACTTATATTGCGTTTAAGTGAAAGCTGAGGTTGAGCCAATCGTGTTTAATGAGCGCATTCGCATAGACCTATCAGATCACTCTGGCCTTTAATGGCTTATGATTGTCTCTTATCATTGAAACTGGAACTAGTAAATTCAATAAATGAAATGAACAAAATTGCTAGAAGCATACTGCATTCGCCTTCATAGGAGGCTTAGCCCCTAAGGTGGGAGGCAGAGTATTCTTCATTCCTTATTTAAAACGTAACGAGCTTTAACTAGAACATCTGTTCGCTCATAATTTTATTCTTCCCGGAGGGGATTCAATTCCTTAAAAAGATCGCGGTGGCTCAGCTCCAGTATAAACTCGACAAACGGTGGCTAAAAGGAAAACTAAATATGAGAAAACAAAATCAGAATCACGTTACCTTAAGTCTTATACCCGTATATTTTGCAAAATCCTCCTCCTGGGTGCTATTCTTGGCTGCAGGCGGATCTGATGTAGTTGTTCTAGTTTGCTCTCTTTCTCTGTAATTTTAAAGTTATGATCTTGCCATCTTTAAAAAAAAAAAAGAAGGGATCACGTTGCCTAATGAACAGCAAAATGTTTATAACAAGTAACTATGAAGTATGAAACTATTGAACACACTAGATTAGTACACCAAGTGTATACACATAACATGTCTCAGAAAACTCGTGTCTTTAGAACACAGCTCGAATGATAATGGAAACCCATCTCAGCTATTACAAAGAGGTCCACCGTTGTGCTAGGTTTTACAACATGTGTTCGAGCAGACTCCAAAATACAGATAATTTTGAGATCTGCTTTCAGATATTGCCTGAAGGCTAATCACTTGGCAAGCATGTTTTGCTGAGCCTGGTTTTCCAGCTGCTGTTGATAGTTCAGCGGCCTCCTGAAAAGCATTATGTGAGGCTCAGGACGATGAATCGCATAATGAACCCAACCGCGGCTCTGCTGAACTCCAATTGCCCGCCACTCATTCTGTTCCAGAAAACAAATATAACGTTTGAAGTTTCACAAAATGTGCAAGCTAGTTGATGGAAACCAGTTAAAAAGAATAGTAGCAGAAATGAGAAAATATGATCCAGCATACAACAGAACCCAATAACACGTTCTGACGTATGCTTGAATAGTCAAGGTTAAAAATAAATAAATAAATAAATAAAACAGAATCACAGGATATATCGCCTGATATCTGCAGTACATGTTAACTAATACAAAGTTACATTAGAGAAGATTATATGAATAGCCCAAGAGACATCAATTTATTAAATTATATAAATCATCAAAACGCATTATTTCCTTTATCATAAAAATAAATAGCCTAGGTCTGTCACTGTCCTCATCAATCCATCCCAATAACCCTAAATCTTTACAGGATAAAAAGCTAAACTAAGTCCTTTGCATTTGTATATTTACAGATTCAAAGAAGGAAAAGAAAGTGGGGAACCAAAGAAAGTTGCACAAGAATGCATAATACATAGGATCCACATCAAACCATTTTCCTCATCATCTCTTTACTCTCTACATCTTACGGAATACACTAAGTATATTCACTCAGGATCTCTAGATCGACGAAAAGCCTGCCAATCATCAGTTTTGAAAGCTGACGCAAGATCTTAATCAATCTTCAGCGTGAATAATGGCTCACGTATTAAGACTTGAGCATTTATCTGACCTCAACACAAGAAGATTTTGTTGTCTTTAGATTCTTTAAAATTGTCAATCAAAGTTGAGTTGCGAGAACTTATCAATCTAGACTACGCAATGCTGGCTGTGAACTGAGCGATACGGAATATGCAATAACTATATCAAGGCAAATCATAAAACAAGCATATCAATGAGAGAACACTAATCACATACTTCAGAAAGAAGACGATTCTTGGGAAGAAGTTTAGCGACTTCGGGAGGTAGAACCACATGCCTGAACAATCCATTGTGACGAGTCACGACGGTGAAATTTACAGCTGATCATGATAAGTAAATGAAAATGGACGAAGAAATTATTTAAATGTGGTTACCTATACTCATAAGTATCATCGAAATACTTCTCAGAGTATTGGATCTGACCCATTTCTCACTCTAGGGTTTGTCAATTCGTACTTTAACCCTGCGCAGATAGAAAACTTTGAGAGGGAAAATTCTCCGAGATGAGATTCTTGGAAAAACTGATATTGATGCGAAAGAAAATGGACTGTGACTAACTACCAGAAGGAGAGAAACGGAGAACGCGGCGAGAGGAAAGGAGGGGTCAAGAGTTGGGGCTTTCGGCACTACTTGAGTAGAGAACCGTAGTCGGAAATGGGAAGCATGTGGACCGGTTAAGAAGAAAAAGGGGAAGACCGAGAAGATAGTGTTAGAGGGGTCAGGTGGTCAATTCGCAAGGAAAAAAATACTTCTGTTATTAATATAAAATTTTATTTGATTTTTATTTTAATTCTAAATATAAGATATCAATCAATTTTATCTCCAATATTAATTTATTTATTTTTAAGATAGTCTTTCTAATAATGGTAGTGCTAACGAATAAATTTGATTGGTAAGAATATTTTAGGAAAAACAACACCTATTTATTACAAATAACTAACTACTACCTCCGGTCCTTATTATAAGACCCCGTTTGACTTTTTGTTTGGTCCTAATTATAAGACCCCAATCCATTTTGTCTCTCATATTTATGCATTTTTTTCCAAGATAATCCTTCTAATAATGATAGTTCTAGTCAATACACTTAATTAGCAAAGATATTTTAGGAATGACAACACTTATTTATTACAAATAACTTACTTAATTTACTTCCTTAATCTCCTCAAATAAGTCAACTAGGTCTTATAATTAAGACCGGAGGTAGTAACTTGTTTTATTAATCTACTCAAATTAGTCAACTAGCTCTTATATTTAAGACTGAAGGTAGTGTCTTATTAAATTAAATAATAATAATTATTTTGGAAACAATTAAATTAAATGAACAACTATAATTTTAATAGTAATTCTATGATATACAAAGTAAATATACAAATATATATATAAAAAATTATCTTGATTTACGTAAAAATATTTTCTCAAAAAACCAAACACCCTCTGAAACATGTTTAAAACACATAAGAAAAGAGGAAAGTGGTTCAGACGGCGTAAAATGGGGAAAGAAGGAAAAAAAGTTCAAAAATTTAAGAATCTCCTTCTTTTAGCAAAAACTACTTTTGGCTTTAATTATAAAAATTAATTGACTAACTTAAAAAAATTTAAAATTAATTAAATTAGTTATTTGTAATAAATAAATATTGTCTTTTTTGAAACATTTTTACTAATTAAATATATTAACTAGAACTACTATTATTATAAAACGACTACTTTAAAAAAAATTACATAAATATTAAACAAAATAAATTAAAATTTTATATTTAAGAACAAAATAAAAATCAAATAAAATTTTATATTAAAAACCAAAGTCAGTAGCAAAAAGATTCAAATTTATACGAACCACGGAGAGGAGTCTCTTCCCTACGGTCTTCCCTTCCCATCCTCCTCTCTCCTGTTACAACTTAGGACTCACGAGAGAACCCTTTCCCGCATTGTGCAGGAACAAAGGTGAATGTGATTTGTAACAGCACATTTTAATTTTAATTGTGTTAAATGAAATAATTCAGGATTCTAACATGAATGCATATAAATATATTCAACGGCAGTGAAAGGCATCTCGCTGTATCTTTGTAAGGTTCAACGCCACATTTTCTTACGAAATGCGGCTCACACAACGTCAGGCGGAAAGAATTGTAGGGACAGGTGCTGCTCAGATACCTTAAATACACATCATTCTATTCAAATAAAAAAGAAAACAGCCATAGAAAACTTTAAACGACTTTTTTCCATTTTAATTTGAAGTTGCGTTGTCCTAGCTTCCTCTATCTCCCAATTCTATCCTCCTCCATTTCTGTGCTACAAAAAATATCATTACAGCTAGAGGTGTATTTGCCTGTTTCATCTGTACACCGAAAAAAGATAAATCCCCCCCTGTACATGCAGTAAAATGAAATGCGTTAAGCACCCGGGTAAAAAACAAAAAGATGAAAAGGACAGTGCTCGAAAGCCCCCCACAAAATTTTCCTCATTTACACCGCATTGGCACACAATTCGGGTGGTGCCGGAACTGACTTCCTCAGCACTGAGGTCCCTTGAAATATCATCATGTGATAATATCTCTTGTAAATGTTTACCTGCAACATTATACAGTTGTTAGCCTAATAGCATTATACAGTTGTTAGCCTAATATCACTACCGAATCTCCAGAAAGCATGGGAATACACATACCTCATCTTGTTCTAGCTTCGTAAAACCGAATTTACTCGTCCATATAGATTCCGCTTCTTCAGCAGCTGGTAGGACGAACTGTTTCACATTCAAAGATCCCAGCAGCCTTTCAATGCACGAAAACAAAGACTGGAAGTAACCCTACAAAAATAACAACAACATCCGGTCAGACTAGAATATGTATGGTCATCCATAGAATGTTCTCTAACTTCTAATATTTCCACAAACTCAGAACTCGCAAGATTTATGGCTCGAGCGAAACCACCTGTCCTTGGCAATCTGCAATTGTTGCCACTAAGGGAAGCTCTGCCACCTCTGCCCCAAATATACGAAATATGCCAGCAGAAACAACCACTTTACTGCAAAGACACAACATGAACAGCAGAATCAGATATCCCTTCAAATGAACAAGTACTCAGTCAGCAAGAGAATATTCCACCCGCATGCTTACTTCACTGTTAGCACTGCACAATACATCCCACCAAAATCCTGACCCCTGATGTTCCTCCTGTAAAGATCCAACAGAGATAAAAAAATTCACAAATCTTGTAATTTTAAGAAAATTCGATGTGAAGAAAATCCTGCTCACCCATAGAGCATTGTTGGAATGAAATCACGGCCTGAAGTCGAATCAACTATTGGATCAAACCGCTCCTACAAAACAACAAAATATAGTTAGTGTTAACATACAATCGGCATATCAGGACTGAAGCATCGTTAACACAAGTGATGAAAGATGTAAAGAAAAGGAAGCAGTAACTACTAAAAGATGAAAAATTAAGAATAAGATTTGTTTATAAATATAAAAAACAAGATTATAATTAAAGTAGAAATAGGATTTTGTACTTTAATACAATTTTTTAAATAATGAATTATTTTAAAGTTATCATCGTGTTCCCTATATTAAATAGTCAGTGTAGTCTGGGACTTAATTCATCAGGCCATTTTGGACCTAGCCCTACTTCCGCCTCACAGCGTTTTCTGATTCACCCACTTTCTTCCTCCCCCATCCCCTAACTTTGTCCCCATTTTTCAGCCCCTCCGCCACCCCCGTATGGTTACAGCCTCCAAAGGACAACTAACTCTCAAACAAAATAGATTTCATAGGAAAGCCAAAACAAAAATGAAGTGTACATCGAGTAAAACAACACAAATACTTACATGGAAAATTGCAACAGCCTTCGAAAGCAGTTGCCTAGTTTCATCAGAAGCAGCCAGTTTCCAGTTTAAGATTCTCCATTTTATATCTAGACCATCCCCATTTTCCAGGCCCTTTTCTTCATGCTTCTTTTGTATCATACTTAATAGAGAATCCGGAAGATTCTCTGCCCCACAAGAGACCAGATTAAGCAGAGCAGAATGAATCCGACTGCAATCAGTGCAGCAGAACCAATTTCCTTCAGGCAATTCCTGGTAAAAATAACCTCCATTAAAACCACATAAATGTTATTTTATTTTATTTTTTAGGTGAAGTAAAGGCTTCAACTGTGGCTAACAATGAAAGTTTTAAAACAAAAATTTCTGGCACCTCTAAGTTCTGCATGTTATGCTCCTTCAAACAGCCTACATGATATTCCCTTTCACACTGCAACATATAAAAAGGTATTTGGATAGAATAGCGGCATAAAAATTTGAACAACCATATATCAAAACATGGTGAGCAATTACGCACAAAAGCAATACCTGATCACATATAATCACTGTTCGAGGACCAAAGTTTTTGCTGAAATCATGGCTTCTGTGAACATGACATCAGAAGAATATCAGAAGTTTATCATAGTGTGAACCAGCTGGCCAACTGACGACATGGGTCAAACGTGATGATGAAGAAAGTTACACTTCAGTAAAATATAAATATTTAAGGCACAGAAACAGTGGTGTCATATTGAGGCTCTCCTAGGGAAGAAAACATTTCTGGTGAACTGGAGTCTTGCGTCCAGAGATTTTTATTGCTCATCACAATAATGGTGGTTCCAAGGGAAGTGAAGATTACAAAAATTTAGTTTGAAAATGAAAGCACTCCAAGAATGCTGGGGATCACCTGCATAATGCACATCCACCATGGTCAACCTCTACAGTTTTGACAATGCGAATGCATCTTTGGTTTATCTGTTCTAAAGGATCAACCCCCGCAATCCTTCCTGCTGCCAATGCATTCATGTTATGCTCCACATATCTGTCCTTCTGGAACAGGTTCTGGCAATATTTACAATACCAAGTGCCAGTCGGAATGTATGGCAGAGGAACACAGTCTGTAATTTAGACCAACAAAATTAAAAACGTTGATATGGTACTCATCCAAAGTAAAGCATTAAACATAAACCATTGAGCATGACCCAAAAAAAAAAAAAAAACAAGTCCAACTCCGGCTTAACAGGAACAGGAAGAAAAAGGATCAAAGCTAAATATTGTCAAATGTACACAACATTCAGTCCAAAAATTGACTTTACCTATGTGAAAAGCCCTTGGGCATCCGTCACAACACAGAAGACTCCCTCCATCTGAGCAGATGCTGCAGAGGTCATCATTTTCATTGGTGGAAAACCTCCGGCCTTTTGATAGAGAAAGGGACAATTCGTGGAGAGAGACTCCATTGGATGTGTATATGTGCAGATAACTGCAACACAGATAACATGTTAAATGAAAACGAAATTAATTTTAAAAAACACATCACATCAAATAACAGACTAAAAAAAAAACTCACGGCTTGCGTCGCGATGCCCAGCCAGCATGAGCTTCAAATTGTGAGGGGCTTACCTGCTCATCAAAACGAGCAGAGTTAAGATATAGCTCAAACCAAAGGCCAACAGCACAGTTGATAATGTATATCAAAATATAAACAACCTCAGAGTCACAGCAACTACAAACAATTCCAAACCCCTTTTTGTAGCCCACCAACAGTTTCTGGACCCAAAAAAAAAATTAGGTCAGACCAGTCAGAAAAGTTGCCAATGATAAACCTAGTCAAAGGCAAAGCATAGACGATGTCAATAAAAATAACCTGTCCACGAGCATAGTAGGCAACTTCAGTCCCATCTGGCAACACATCTTCCTCAAAAACCAATTTGTGCAACCGCAAATCCCTATTCAAGCACAAAACAAAAAAGAAAAAGATTTTAAAAAAAAATTCCATTAAGACTTAACCATAACCGCACCAAGTGTCTTAGATATGTTAGCCAAAACTTACTTCCTAGTTATTCTTCCCTGACTCTTGCCTCGAGAAGCTGTGTGCTTCATCCCACTGTTTAACGTCGAAGGAACAGCAACCGGTTCTGGAGACCTGGGATAGTTGGAATATCTGGATGTCATAAAAAAGAAACTGTACCAGTTTGCAATAAGCTTTAGTATTCGTAGATTGGTCCACACAAAAAAGTCCACTGGAAGAACTAAAAGATGTAACCAAAAAAACATCTGATCAAAACCCCTAGTACGTTTGTACGCTTCATATTTTCACATGCGAAAAATAGGAGAGAAAAAGGTAAGAATTAATCTCATAAAACATAGAAAAAGCTAAGGTCTTCACAGTATGAACTCTCCAGACTGAAAATCCAACAAATAAGTAAACAAATTAACTAATAAATGAGGTAAACGCTTCTCTGGTCCTTATGAGATGCATACGTGCTAATTCTATTTAACAAAACAAACGAAAAAACACCTGAGAGTAACCGCAGGTGAAGAACAGGAATTGCTAGCCTCAGTTACTTGAATAGGGCTAGGTTGAGGCTCCTTTAGGACCACGCATCTATCGCAAAGGAGTCTTGAGCATCCCTTGCCATCTTGAGATATGGCCGCTACAATGCAACACAATCACCATTTAAATTTACTGGGAACATGCAAGCATATGGACAATGAGAAATCATCGTAAGGACTTCAAACCTCTGCACTTCAAACAGGTTGCAGATTTCTTAAAGCTGAAGCCCCCAAGGATTTTCTGCACTGATTCCTCCAAAACATCCCTTGCAACGCTCGAACATGTATTCATGACATCACGGAGCGTATTCCCATTCTCAAGGTATATGTACTCAGGGGGGCGTTTGTTTGCACTACCAGCATGCAGCTCAAACACCGTGGGTGTTACAACCTACTTTCAGCAAAAACAAAAAATCACCAAGTTATCCAACGAATATTAAAGGAATTTTGTTATCAAGCATATCCTCCGATTAATACCTCAACCCCGTTACAAACTTCGCAATAGCACAAAATCCCTGAGCCTCTAATCTCTCCTCGGAGCCCTGTATCTCCAGGCCTTCGTGCCTAAAAATTTCTCAAACGCATTACACATATACCTGAAATTACAATTCCCGAATAACAATAATCAGAACTACAATAGTGAGACGAGATCATACCTTCACTCCCCGAACATATTTTACTGGTAGTCCTTCAAGGATCCCCGTAGCTAGTAGGTCCTTTAGCTTCGTCGGGAACTTCTTCGAGGCACTATTCTTCGACATTTTTGTTTGAGTTGGCGTAGTGATTAATGAAGCATCCTCACTTTCCATCTTAACATCACCAAATCTAATGGCTCTATCACAAGCTTCTTTCCCATCATTGTAGAGCTTCGAATCATCTTGCTGTTGTCTCAGAGCCGACCGCGTAAACCGCCTCGTTGGCCCCCCTATCATTGCCTTCACCCTATTGTCATCATTAAGCGTAACAGGAGCAGTCACAATGACCTCCTTTTCTTCTGGAGAACATGACTCTCCCCCGCTTAAGTTCTCAGTCGTTAAAGACTTCTGTAAATCGTCTTCATTCGTTTGATGTTCCTTGGGCTCGGGTTGACAAATGGGTTGCACTATATCATCCATTGTTACTTCCTTCAGTGGTTCTGACACTGGAGTACTTTTCGGCTCATCGTCGCTTACGGTTTCTACATCATCGCCCTTGGGCTCTTCATCACAGATGGGCACTGAAGCCTCACCCATGGGTTCCCTCTTGCCCGTCGGCTCACCCACCAGGTTCTTGGGTTCGTCGTCACCCGATAGATCCACCACATCGCTTTTTGCCTCCTCCTCGCTCATGACATCCTCCATATCCTCTACAGCCTTTACCTCCTTTCCCTTGACATCTTCCAACACAATGGGTTCAACAACATCCTCCGGCACCGGCTTCGCACCATTCTGTTCATCTCTCTTAGCCCTAGACGAACCAGATTTCTTGGACCTCTTGTTGCTGGGACTATCTTGAACCCCATTCTTGTTTTTGCTGGCACGGGTCCGTCCAAGAGATCCACAGATCTCGGATTGAGCCTTCATAGCGAATGCGAACTCCCTCTTCAGCCCCGTCCGGACCCTCGATAACACCAGGAACTCGTCGGAATCCTTACCGTTCGCCATAGCCCCGCACGGGTTGATTGAATCACAGGAACCACGATTGAAGAGGAATAGGAATTAAAACCCAGATCCCGGAAATAAATCGCATACGCCTCAGATTGAAAGGGAAAGGCACGAATTGAAAGAAAAGAAATAGAATTTTTCTTCGGAGTCTGCGAGTGAGAACGGGGTCCCAAAAAAAAGGGTAGGGTTTGCGGAAGAGGTTGGAAGATTAGAGAGATTTGGGCTGGAGACACGACTTGGGGAATAGGTCGGTTTCTTTGGAGAAGGCGAAAGAAGAGAAACGCATTGTTCTTTTTCCCCCTCGGATGACGAAATTACCCTGCGATGGTGATCCCTTGTCTTTTTTCCTCTCCTCCCCATTTATGCCTTAGCCCTCGTGCTTTGTGTATTTGTACTCTGTGCTCTTTTTTATTACGCCCATATGGACGCTCTGGCTTCTTGCATGATTTCTATCAATCTAGTCGGGTATCTTTCCTTTTTTCTTTTTGGGTTAAAAATCCCATCAAATATATTAATATCAATACTAATAGTATCAATATAATCCGTAAAAAATATCAAATTTTTACTTGGTAACAAATATAATTATTTTTTTGTATTTGATAAAATTTACACTACATAACATAAATAGTTAATAGTAAGCTTAACCTCAGGCCAAAAAGAAGTAAGCTTAAACGAAATAAAAATTGTAAGCTTAAGAAGATAATGATTATAATTTGGTAAAAAGGTGGACAGCAATTTTAACAAAGGGAAAATTACGTTTAGAACCCCTCTAGAAAATTAATTATACGTAGAGACCACTAATTTATGAAATTAAAAACGTACTAAAGATTTTTAATAAGAAAGTGACTGAACGAAAATGCGCTCAAGCAATAACAACATGTATGACCAACTTATAGTTAATTGTGACTAACTTTTTTTAAATACAATAGAACATCCAAGATTTGTAACAATTTGCGACTTACAATATTTTCACACTTTACACTTAATTTATAATTCATTTTTTAAAATTTGTAAGCAAATATCTTATATTTTTAACTCAGCTGTGCTGATAACTATAAGACTGTTTAGAATAATTTTTAAATGAATCTTCAGTTATATTTTATCTCAATTTATATAAAAAATATTTATAAATAATTTTTAATGTTTTGTGAAGCATATTTTAATACATTTTGTCTTATGTGCTTTATTTCACATTCCAGTTTCAACAATCTGTGGTCTTAATTGTAATTATGATGTAATGGTGGCCTTCGGTGTCATTTCCCCCATAAAGAAAGGGGAAAGTAATTTGAAATGGACGAAATTTCGCGGGTTGGGCAAGGATGGAGGAGGACGGGAATCGAGAGACTTCGGAACATAGGGGCAGTGCAGGAATTTCGGTGCGGTTTGTTTAAGATTTTGCTGAGCTGGATGGATCTGCCCCACGTCCAATTCCAAATTTCAAATATGCCCGGTCATGAACATCACGTTCCTCTTCCTCTACTAAACGCTTGTAACGTTTACCTTTTTTTGTTTTTGATGATACTCCTATTATCATTAAAAAAAATTTCCGAAATTGTGGTCCCATCTTTGGCTTCTGAATTTTGGTATGACAATAAACATGTTGAATAAATCCTACACATAATATTAAAGTTAATTTTTTTAACTAAATCATACATTAAGGACAGAAAAAATATTTCGGATGATCACATTTAATTATAGGGTTAAAGTGCGTCCAGCACTCCGAACTATTTATCTAGGTGCGTCCAGTGGCCTAAAGTAATTTTGGGTGCATCCAGTATCCTAAACTAATTAAAATGATGCGTCCATATCCTAGGCTAACAGAAATGTTATGTTTAACCGTTACTTTCCTGACTTAGCTTAAAGTTGATCCTAGATATTCTACATGGTAGACATATGAACACCCGATGTGTATTATTTCTTACTCAAAAGTCAATTTATTTAGAAGAAGATGAAGGAAATAAATTAAATTTTGAGTAAGAATAATACACATCAAATGTCCATATGTCTACCATTTAGAATATCTGGGGTCAATTTTAAACTGAATCAAGAAAGTAACAGTTAAACATAACATTTCTGTTAGCCTAGAATATGGACGCACCATTTTAATTAGTCTAGGACACTGGATGCATCCAAAATTACTTTAGGCCACTGGACGCACTTGGATAAATAGTTCGGGGTGCTGGGCGCACTGTAACCCTTAACTATATAATATTTGTTTATATTAAAGTATTTCGTACCTGGTACTCCTACTAATTACGTTTTGTTAAGGCCACATGGATGTTGAAATCAGCACGGCCCATACTATGATGGGATGAATTTGAATTTTTTTTCCCTTTGGGCTAGGATTTGATTTTTCTGAACTTCATCCTCTTGGTCCTCGGATAGGTTGGGATCAAGGAATAAAAAATCAGGCCGGACACTAAACCAGTTGAGGTAGTGGTTCAAGGGTCAATGGGTCAGATCGGAATCAAACCGGGATCAAACCGGTCACATTAAAATGATAAAATTTAATTAAAAATAACAAAGTATAGCAATATTAATAATCACTAATAACAAAATGTAAGGAAATACAACAATAATTTGATTGTAATTAAAACAAAATACAATAACATTAAGGATTTTGATCTTTATGATTTCTTAATAACTAAAATTAATAATTATTAATACCAAAATTATTATTAAAATTCATTTAAATATATAGTGATTGAAATATTAGGAGTTGAATAAGAAAAAATAAGATAAATAGCAAAATATCATTCAAACCGGTTCATTACCGGTTTATACCGGTTTTTGCCGGTTTGCACCGGTTTATCCCGGTTTGACCGGGTTGATGCCGGTTCATTTTATGACCGGTTCATTACTTTAACCGAATCGGACCACTGGCCGGTTCACCGGTTGAACCGGCCGGTTTGGTCCGGTTTTTTTTTCACTGGTTGGGATGACCCACTTTGCTCATTGCATATTCATAAAAAGATTATGAAAATTCATCAGATATTCATACGTCAAAGCATAGCGAAAATGAATCTGATAAGAGAAAGGCACGCATTTATATTTGATCCCTCGTCATTATCTCCATTATTTGCAACAGGTAATTAAGAAAAAACACATATTATTAATATTTAATAGTTATTAATCATACATAAAAAGGGAATGAACGGATTAGAGTTTTAGCCTTTAGACCTTACGAGGTTTTTTTTCAATCAAAAAGTCGGGCATACTCCCCCCCCCCCCAAAATCCAACCCGTTTTCAGAGCAAATGAATCCAGGAGGCTCAACTCAAAACAGAGGAGCCTAAGTCACATCATCTATGGTCTATGATCTATCATCTAATGAAAAGAAATCACAGCATTGATGAAAACAGGTGAATCAAAAGATTTAGAAGTGAAGAGTAGAAATGTCCAACAAAAGCCCCCATTTGATTCATTCGGTCTTGTACAGAGTTCGCCTTTCATCTTTGTTCATGTAAACTCAACAAAGTATAACAAGGGAAGAAAGCTGAGAAGGACTATTACCACAATGGAATTGTCGGAGTACCAAGATTCGGACGAATCATATCAAGACATAAAAACCTGAAATCTGTCGATAAAAGGGCCCAAATATGTAAAGAAAGAAGGTTTTGCAAGACTGATATGCTTAACAGCTTAAGTTGAAACAAACTTCATCGTCTCTTACTTTTTCACAGGTACATGATTCATAAAGAATCCGTTCTTCTGCCTCAATGAAAATCCGCCCTGAACCTATGAAACTAAATGAAGAAGGATGGATTATCACAATGCAAAGATATAAATTTAGAAGGAAGCTATGTGTAGAACTTGGATATGCTACCGATGACAATTAGCACAGAGAATTCTTTAAACAAAATCCTCCAATCATTAACTCTTATTTAGGTCTCAAATGTTCCATATCAAACTTAAATTAGACCATAAATTCTCCTTTTTCATTCAATACAGAACCGTAAAGATTACAAATTTAATGTGTCAAAAAGCAGTTCATTTCAAGACATAGTGCCGACAAGTTTTCAGCCAACAAATTACATCAAGACATGTTTTGCTCTTTTTTTCCTCTCATTTTCCTATGTTAAATTAGCATACATAATAGAATTGAAGGATCTTGTATTGGATCCATTTGGAACAGCTTACAAGTAGCTTATAAGTAACTTTTTAACTGTGATTTATAAAATACGAAGTAAGTATGTGAGCAAAGTTTTGTCTCATCTTACATGAAATGTGTTTTTAGAGAATTTCCACCATAATCCCAAACAGGCACATTGTTTAACTTTTATTCCTTATTTTTAGGTATTGTAACTTGATATTTTTACTTTTATTATTTTTTTAAAAAATTATACTTCACAAAACTGATTTCTTAAAAATATATAGCTCTCCTCACAATTCACCGTGCAAACAAGCATAGCAGAGCTTTTTCCCCCCCCCCCCCTTCCCCGTTGTTTTTGACCGGAAGCCCCCTTCCCCGTTGTTGGTAATACAAAGGAGTAGACATGTAATATTTGATCCCCAAGCATCTTGTTGTATTAAGGTGGCACAAGATGATAGTTTTGGTGGACACATGTAACCTTTTGGACTGTCACTCCTTCATTATGAGAACCCAAAAAAAAAAAAAGATGTCTCACAAAAGAAAATGTTGGGGCATATCCCATGCCCCACCATGTCTGCCCTTGCTCTACTTTAAATTTTAAATTCATGCTTTTGCCCTACCTAACAAGAAGATGACGAGTTTAATGGTTTAAAGCTCTCTCTCTCTCTCTCTCTCTCCCCCCCCCATATATATATATATATATATATATTTAAAGCAATTATCATGTCATGGATGCTAATATTATGATCATTGATACTAGCAAGAGTTTATGTTCAAGTTAGGTTATCTACCTCCCTCTCTCCCTGCTGTAATTTTATTCATATAATTATTATAATATCCCGTAAAAAAACACAAAGTCTGTGGGCCTTAATTGTTGTGGCTTCCTGCTATCATCCTGCCTAACCATTCCTCCCTTCGGAGCCAAAAGAGAGGGGCTTATCGGTGGTAGTTGAAAACTTTTGAACTACCATTTTAACCTGTGTACGATAGTGCCGTTTCAATTTTTCTCATGACAAAGACACCACGTGTCCTGGCTTTACTTATTTTAATCGCTTCCCCCCCCCCCCCCCCGGGGGCCCGGGGAACTGGATTGAGTCTTCCCCTCAAAACGTACACATGGTTTCAATTGTTACATTCTGAATCTGCAGAAGCAATCGATAATCCATATTTTCAATATCTCAGTGACTAACCCACTCTATAAATACAGCAGAAACATAGCGATCCGATATCTTTTAATTTCTTGAAAAATGAACTTATTGAAAGAGACCCCTTTCGGGTAGGCAAATCGAACTACATCCGCTCAATACTGTGCAAGTTAAACCGACGACGCAGAAGTGAATGTTATAATTTGCGAAGTTTAAAACTTAAAGCAAATATCGATTTACAGAAATCCTCCTTCAAATACGGAGTTAATTTACTGTTGTGATTCTAACATGCATGTAGATGCCAATACAAAAAAAAAGATGCTATTACATAGTTCTGGTCTCTTCAACATGACCCAGTAATGCTCATCCAGAAGACTGCATGACGCAGATAAAGCCACAAAACGAAACCACATCAAAATCACCGACAAACAGATTCTAGTTTCTAACTCGGTCAAGCATCAATACCCTACTAGATAAGCTGAAACAGGAACAGAACAAGATTATAATGCCAAAGAGTTGAAGTTGCCCTGTGGAAGAAAAAGAGATTATGATGATCCCATTTTCTCCAAATGACTGATCTGATCTCCTTCAGCCACCTCCCATAGTCCCACCATCCCCCAGCCACCGAAATTGTACCCAAGTTCTGTCCGTCTCGAAATTTCGGTGGTGGGGGAGGCAGGGGAGAAGTCGCCGGCGTGCTCAACTAGAGGGAAAAACTGACACTCATGGCTGAGAATTGGGTAGAAGGGGATGAGAAAATCATAAAGCATGTGAGAGTTTAAAAAGGAGAGGCAGCTTCGGCATTCAATGGGCGCTTCCTTCTCTCAAAGGGTTTGTAAAACTCGCATCTTCCAAGGTATATGCGACGACCACCTTCGTTGCTCCACACATTTCACTACTCGTTTCTTCTTTTCCCAAACCTTTTGCGTCCCACTCCCACCCTATAAATGATCCCTCCCTCCAACCCCACGCGCTAAAGCCTTCAAAATCAACGTGGCAGCACCAGGTTTCAACTCTGAATCAGTCCTAGCGCGATCTGAAGCGCGTTAAGTATACTTTCTGGAGGTTGCAGTTTTGGGTGCAAGCCCCTCTTTCCTTTGCCATCAAATCTAAACTAATATCTTTTTTACTGTTCAAAATATAAAATTAAGTTTAATCTTTAAAAAGGGGGCTTTCAGCAGAAGTTTCATCCCACGTTGTGATTAAGAATAGTGTCCGGAGGCTTGGCTGGCATGTGCAAGTCACCATCCATGTAAGGAAAAGAATGAGGTGTGGGTGCTCTTTTTGGGTCAGGGTCAGGGGCTCAGGCACTCTGGAGCAGCAAGAACCTTAGAAATGGATATGCTTCGTTCTCATCATAGGGGCTCGGAATTTTTATGTGTTTTACAGTTAGGACTGGATGATCATGGCCTACATATTTTCACCATGTTTTTTGTCTAATTTGAACCCAGTAATGTATATAACACTCATGGCTTAGCCAACTGCTGGGATTTCAACATAGGTGTACGCCATCCTCATATATTTGCCATCGAGAACTTATCCTACCAGATGCGGAAATGAAGAAGACATTATCATTTATAATCCTCATATGATGCTACACTTTCCGTTGTTAATTTAGGTTAAAAGTAGAAATAAGCAGTTTGATTGTCTTAACATTTGAAATTGAGATGCAGACAATTAGAACTGATGAAAGGAGATGCATGCACAGGTCCTAAATTTTTCTGACCCAATAAATTGAACTTGAGAGGTAGGAGACAGATAGGGCTCTAGATTCAATCACTTGCACGGCAAAGGGAAAACAAAATTTTCAACATTTTGTGCTCTCAATGACACTAGTGGCGGGATTTCGGGGAAAGGCAGGCACCAATGTGTTTATAAAGTGAAAAGTTGAAGAAGAAGCAAGACATAGGCATACAGGAACCAGTAAAAACTTGAAAGTGTTAGCTCCCTTCTCGGATTCAATCAACGTACATACACTAACAAAATTGATTTTGGAATGCAAGAGGTGATATAATATGTAATATGTTATGGCATCCACTGGTTATAATACCTTATGGTGTGCTTAACCTAGGAAGAAAGGAAAGGCATCAACTTATGGTGGTGATTTTGGAATCCCTTGCAGGCAAAGGCAGAATCCATACATAATCCAAAAATTAAGCTTCTCTGAAGGAATCAAATAGATCCTTCCTAATGATGGTAGCATATTCCATTCCCCATTCTGTCCCTAATTCATGCACTCCCAAAGTTACATTAATCTCAAGATGCTCGGTTTATTACCTTTTCGATTTTGTTTTTATTAGCTCGTCACACCAAGCTTGGAAAATTTCTCCGTTCTATCCCACCTTACAACTGGAATACGTGATATCGCTTTATCCTTAACACAGCTGTGCTGTTTGTGATACTCTGTAAGTAATACTTGAATCTGAAGAAAAGAACAATTCTGGGCCTTGACTAATCCCTTAGATTTCTTGAGTTTCAAACACGAAATTCTAAAGGAGAAAAGCGTTCAATAAAAATTAAAAAAAGACGGGGAAGAGACAACCGAGAGATATCTTACATGGCGTTCCTCACGATATATGCACATCATTTGCTTCTTCAACATATCATTCCTTTCTTTGCTTTCTAGCATTAGTACAGTACAATTCCGAAACAGAATTCCTGGAGCCAACCTTAGAAATGGCCCCTCCCCCTCCTCCTCCCCCCTCACGAAAACGCTCGGGCCTCCTTCGTTGCATCGCCATTGGAATTTTAGCGTTGATAATCCTATTGGGCCTCGCTGTGCTCATAACCTGGCTGGTTCTCAAACCCAAAGGTTTGGTCTACACAGTAGAAAATGCTTCAATCCACAATTTCAACTTAACCGACGCAAATCACCTCTACGCCAATTTCGATCTTACCATAAGATCTTACAACCCCAACCACAGGGTCTCATTTTACTATGATTCCGTGGAGATTTCTGTGAAGTACGAGGACCAGACGCTAGCTACCAATAGGGTTCAGCCATTTTTCCAACCACATAAAAATGTGACTCGTTTGCAGGCGAGGCTCACTTCTCAGACGGTGGCCTTATATGGGTCCGTGCCTAAAGACCTCAGGCAGGAAAGGCGATCTGGGGATATTGAATTGGATGTGCTGATGAAGGCAAGAATACGGTTCAAGGTAGGGCTGTGGAAATCAGAGGATCGAACCATGAGAATCTTTTGTTCCCCTGTTCTGGTGCACTTCTCTGAGTCCAAGGGCTTTGAGAGGGTCTACTGCGACGTAGAACTTTGAATTCAATCTCAGTTATTATGTTCTGACAGAATTCTCATGGCTTAGTGTCCTCGTTATTTACTTTCTCCAAGTTTTTGTTGGTTTGTTCTTTTGCTTTGTATTAGGAGATTGATGCTCTGTATTCTTTGGAATCGTCATTCTTGATTCTTGTTTTTCTTTTTATGAGTTTTGGTTTCTGTTCCCTTTCGGCCTTTCCTCTTGGATTTGTGGGTATCAAATATTTGTGTTCACACGACATGGATAATATATGTATGTCTGTTTTATTATGTTGATTATGTCGTTATTGTTACGGTTACTTGGCAGGGGACCCTAACGTGAATAAACCACCCTTCAACACTATTGGGCTGCATTTTTGGTGAAGCATGATATTGGGCTTTTATTAACGCACCATTCTATTTCTTTGTTAAGACCATTTATGAATTTTGATGCATGATTCATAAGCCTAATATTACTCCTAACTCTGGTCTTTAATATAAAAATTAATTAAAAATTTAATTTAATTTTAAATATAAGAGCTTAATTTATTTTTTCTCTCATTTTTTCATAAAATATTCTTATTAATTGTAAGAAATTCTTCTCAAGGAATAATTCTAATAATTCAATGTACATGATTGAAGAGGATATTTTAGAAATATTAAAATAAATAATTAACTTAACTAATTTTCTTAATATCTCTAAATTAGTTTATTTAGCTCTTATATTAAATACCAGGGTATTATTTAGGATGGCAAAACAATTAAAAGAAAGAAAGAAAGAAAGAAACCCTTTGGGGGGGGGGAAAATTATGTCTGGCTCCTTTAACTAGGGCCATGCATAAAATTATTAAATTAACTTTGAAAACAACATAACACCCATAAACTCTGAATCAAAATGAAAATAGTGAATCCAAATTAAAACCATCCATTGTAAGAGATACTATATATAGTTTTGATTGTCATCAACGCCAAAGTATTGGTTAAGGTGGATCTTGCAAATAATCTTGTATTTTCAATTAATTTAGATTGAAGTTTCATTTCCGAACTCTCTATTTCTGGGAAAAAGTCTTGTCATACAGATAAACCCAACCCCACTATTTATGGATAAGTGAGTGATAAGTGGAATCAAGACTGCTGATTTGCTGGTGTACTACGTCTACGGTGTCAGTGGTTGGTGGTGTATTTCAATTTTCCACCAACCATTCAAGTAAATGCTGAGGATCGGAGGAAACTACTTCTCTAAGTAAAGCAAACACAAGTATGCTATGCTTAAGGAGAATTACTCGATCTCTGGCATTCGCATCTTCCAACAAAGTAAACATTGTAACGTACGTGTACAATTAGTACCACTTGTTTCTGTTTTCTTGGCGTTTTCTCTGAGGACAACAATTACATAGAAAGATCATCATGCGATGATTGGAGTGTGATATAGTTTCCAAAAGAGAGTGAGGCAAGAGATGTTCAATCAAGGCAAAAACTTAAAAAACAACGTGACAAGTTGGTGGTTGGGCTCTAATTTGGTGAGCTTAATTATGTGTACATGAGGTGTAAAGCATGGAGGGGGTGAAATTGAAAATATGTGAAAATTTGGCATGTTCTTGATGGCTTTTCAGGAACAATAAGAAAAAGGCACTTGCATAAATATAACACATATCCCACTAATTGGACCCAAGTGGATTGGAGTGTTGCAGAAGGAGACCTTTGATGCAGGGGAGCAGTTAATATACATGGTCCCAAATGACACACACATGCAAAAACCTCATTACACGTTTAAACACTATGCCTTTAATTTCTTTCTCAGTGCTATCAATCGTTTGTTTGCTTATTGTTGTGTATGTCTCTACGTGCTCCCCTTCCTTTTGATCTATCTTGAGATTTTATGGGTGTGAAAAAATAATGCCAACCTTTACACTCTACTTGTTGTTTCTTTTTTTCAAGATTATGTTCTAACGACACGTACATGATCTATGTTAATGTTAAAAGTGAATATAATAACACAAATATTTATATACATCTAGCTGCCCTTTAAATATTAGAACAACCTGCAAGAGTTATCAATAAGATGAGCTTTAAGCATTTAATTCATGATGAGGAATTGCCTAACTTTATTGTCGAGCACAGATGGAAAAGAACAAACCCCTCAACTCGTTCGTTTTTTCTTTTTGAACAGATAAAGAAATTTTAATCAGCAATAGTAAAGACACACTGGCACACATATTAACCGCACATATGTAAAGCATCGCCTACGATTTGCACGATTGCACTTATGGATCGGGAAAGCCATGAGCGTCCTCTGTGTCGAAGAACGTGTGGAGAACCATCAAGGTATTAAATAAACAAATACTAGAAACACAATGTACATTAAAAAACAACAATTTTTTGTGCATTATTTATTTGGTTTCATCTGGGTAAGCAAATGCACCGCCTTAATTCGTGGGATATCTCATTTTCGGGGCGACAATTAATGGGACGAGGATAATGGATGTGATCTGATGAGGCAACGACGACGTCTCAGGGCAAACCTGCCATGTGCATGAACAAGATTAGAAGACTTTTATTGGTTAGGGAGAAGGAACATAGATAAGTGTGAGATGTGTTTCGAGCCAATCAAACAGTCTCTGGCATGGCCTTTCCTTTATGGATATTTGTGGCCCATAATGCAGCATTTCCAAAATTAGAACACCCTGGATCCGCAGGAATATGAACACTGAATATCATTTCTGATTTATATGATATTAAAGAAAAACTAACACTAAACATTTTATTTATGCATCTAAACCTACAGACTAAAATAAGGATAAACAAGAATAATGGCCATTTAAAAATAAAGGGTGTTGGTAAAAGATGACAAAGGGAAGAGACAGGGGTCCGTGGGGTTCGTAGGTTGATGTGATGAGAATCTAAATGCATAGATTCAAATCAACTTAGAGAGCAATATGTATACTTGTGTTTGTCCAACTCCCAACTGTCTCATCACCATGATTAAGCCTCCTTTTATGGAAATAAATGTCTAGAACAGCAACGGGGTTCGCTGTAGATGAGGATGATGTGGGCTTCATTTCACAACTAATCTGTCCAACTTGATATAACATCCATCATCAAACACTTCTTCTTTCCCTTACTTCTCGTGAAATGTCGGCAATGTTTCAAGTCTCGATCGAGTTCGTAATGAATTCCCTTTAATTACCTTGCTTAATCGTTATTAAGAGGCCAGCCAATTAGATCATATCAGATCGGCCTTTGGGTTAAAAACGTTTTTCGTTTTCCTTTTCACTTGCTTATCTTCTTCGCATGCCCCTGCAAACTCTCGTGTTTTTGGAATTTCTTTGACTCTAAGAAAGAAACGCTGGCTGCAATCAAAATCACACCTTTGCTTACCCTTTTCAATCATTCATTTTCCTTTACAAATGTAGCAGTTTTGCTCTTGTTGTTGAGTTGATTACAGTCAATATTGTTTTTTTTTTTTCCAGTTGCTCTATTAAGTATTCTGATTCATATTCAGTTCCATTTTACGTGTCATTCAAAATATTACATCGCTAGAACTATTATTATTAGAAGAACTATCTTGAAAAAAATACATAAATATTAGAAACAAAGTAGATTTGGGTCTTATATTTAGAACTAAAATAAAAGTTAAATGAGGTCTCATATTAAGGATCAGAGGTAGTATAACATAAAAATAATATCACGTCAGATCAATGTCCTTTTCAATGATGCTTTGACATGCTAATATATATTACTCCCTCTCGAGTCTTTTTAACCAATACATAAAATTAAAAAGTAATTAAGATGGTTATTTTTAATTAATATTGAGATAATATATTACACTTTTTAAAAATACTCATGTGCAAAGATAAAGAGGGATACTATGGGAAATAAGATAATTAAGATAAAATTGACTCTTATGTCTACAACAACATCGAAACTCTTAAATAGATCTTATACTTTATGATTGAAGAGAGGGAGTACAGCATTTTAGCGATGCTATGTCATCGTTAATTATACAACAAGAATATAACAGTCATCAGTCATCACCTTTTTATAATCACAAAATCCGATATACATACATACATATATATGTGTGTGTGTGTGTGTGTGTATTATTATTATGCGTGAGATAGTATGATTAGGATCCTATACCAAACGCCGAAAACATGCGTCTAATTCAATTAACTTTTACAAAACAATATTTATAATCCTTTCTCTGATAAATTTTAATCATTATACTAAATATATACACGATGATAGCTAGCTACCACTTTAGTGAGGAAAAGGTTATGATATCCAAAATAGTATAAAATATGATGGAAAACATTTTTTAAATCGTGGTTTTTTCAAACAAGTCAAAGTTAGCCGATTGACAATTCTTCTTATATATACAAGTCCGCGCAAAAATTTAAAAATGCATACAGAATCATAAAGTCGTAATAAAGTTAAAGAGTACTTGTGGTATATAAATATATATAGATACAATGTTGCATATAAAAGGAGGCTGATGATTAAACTGAGGCAGCTTTAGGCGGACATAGTGATGAACGTCAGGTTCCCACTGATAAAAAACTTGATCCTCGAACTTGTTAAATTTGAGTTTTAGATTAAGATATCCAAATCTGTATAGGGTTTAGAGGGACTCAAATGCACCAATTAAGGACGATCGTGAAGGGACCAGCTGGGAGTTGGGAGAACACACATAGGCATGCCGTGTGGTGGAGTCAGCCTTTTTGAGAACTTTAATGATGACGTTACTTTAATTTCTATATAAGCAGCCAACCGCTTCATTACTTAATTGGAACCCACTTTATCAGTGTTTTCGTTAGAGGGATGTAGGATAATAAACATATTGCTCAGTCAGTTGTTCTGAAAATATTATTTTAATTTGCTCCATGAATAAAACAAGAAAAATGATATTAAATGTTGTTCTGGAACGGAGAAAGGACAGGCAACATGAAAAAAAAATTCCTGAAAAGATAAATATGAGGAGACATAGGAGCAGTAGTAGTAACAATAATGATCAAATTTAATCTGCAAGTTAGCTCATTCACTATAATGATCATTTAAGTCCAATAAGTTAATTGCCTTGCTTTTTGGCTGTGTTTGATTTTATAGTCTAAAGAAAGAGAATAACTTACTGTAGAGATGGATGAGATTCATAAACAATGATTATGCACACTTGAATAACTTTTCTTCTTTTAGACGGGGTTTGGGTGTTTCGCAAAAGAAAAAATAATTTTAATAGAATTTAAAAGACACATATAACTAAATAGTAAACACTAATGCATTATTATATCAATCAATTGTTAATGTTAATATTGGTGTAATCATATCAATACATGGCCACATAATTCAATGCGTTTGATAATTAATCATATTAAATATTGATGTTTCAATGGTATTTTTTAGATTGCAAGCCGTCGCATGATGGTTATATATACAAACAACGTATACTGTATAGCATCGTTCGAAGTTCGAAAGCAAAGAATAATATTAATAATCAAAGAAGTATCATGAAAGATTCACATCTCATCAATTTATATTCATTCATTACCCAAGAGATCAGTATCCCCACTGTCCGAATCTAAGATGAATTATTATTTTATTTGTTACCTTAAAAGTATAACATATTTCTTCTTAAACTACATTAAACAGTCGCTAGAAAGAAGCAACACTGGATAGAACTCCGTTAATGCCGTCTGTTTTGCGCCAACATCTTGCTCCCTTCGCTTCTCGTTTTCATTAATTTCTTTGGATTAATCTCAGAGTTTACTTGAAAACTCACAGCAAAGAAAACTCATGGGAAGAATAAACCACAACATCAGATTACGCAAACTTGACGTTCAATTTACGATCGGTAAGATATGCTTCAATGGGCAGGAAGACCGCCACGTGTCACGAGATCATAATGCGTTTGATCAAAATATCGAGACGTTAAGAGTGGTGCATCTGTTTATATATGTATGAAAATGCCACACAGCCCATGACGTGTCCGCATTTATTATTTGTAAATTGCCGCTTTCCTACTTTCCCTCTTCCCCCCCTGATGCCTTCCTTCTTCACGCTCCTTCCCTCCCTGTCTCCCTCTTAAAAGTACTGCACACTTCCCATCTTAGTTTTCGGTTCCTTTACTTCTAAACAAAAGACCGCAACTTTACTGGTATGATTCACTTTCACTCAGCCTTTTCGCTTAAATATTTGTTTTGAATCACACTCTTAAATTCTGGGTTACTTTTTGGCTTTGGGTGTCTTAAGAGCATTGTGGTTTCTATTTTCCCCCAAGAAATGGAGTTATCTGTTTCTTGTTTTAGAGACCAGTTGAAGAACTCCATCTCTCTGAATGCAGTGAGCCGGATGGCTGCTTTCTGCTCAGTTTCCCTGAGCTTGTACAATCCGAGGTTCACATTGGAATCATGAGATTCAATGTGTTGGCAAACTTTCAAACAGAGTATTAACAATTGAATAATATACCCGTGTTTCCTGGAGAGTTTGAGGAATTTTATCAATCTTTTTGACGAGTCTCTGTTGTGGGACAGAAACTCAAGTCAGTCAATTTTATCAATTTTCGAGTCTATATGCCTGGCTGGGAAGTACGGACTGGAAATAAAATTGATGTAACTGATCCTTTCTTTCTTTTGCAGGCTAAGGTATAGTTATAAAGCCAAATAAAATGACCTGTTTGTGAAAGGAGTGCTTTGATTTTCCAGCACCCTGTTACCTAATGCGAATTTTAGTGCATCGAGCAGATGGGTTGTAAAGATTTGTTTTGTTGTTAGGAAAAGAATACAAATTATGGCTATTGTTGGTGTGCACAATGTGTCAGTGCTTGACTCTTCTTTCCTTAGGGACTCCCATTCTCAATCATCGAGTAGACGTGGAGGTGGAGGCAGGAGAAGCACCCAGTCATCTTCACTTTTGCAACTATGGCAAGAGATTGAGGATGAGCATATGGTGAGTCGTCAAGCTCAAGCAAGACCTGGGGAATTATTGCTTCAAGGATCTCATGGTAGGCAAGAGGAGTTAAACAATTCTAGCTGTGAGAACTCTTCTGATCTTGGAGATCTTGAAAGGGAAAGAGTAAGGAAAATTTTTAGAGAATGGATGAAGAGTGGCGCTAGAGATGAAGCGTCCAGCATTTCCATCAGAAACAACAGTCCTAGGGACGAGTGGCTTGGCGAAACAGAGCAGGAGAGAGTGAGAATCATAAGGGAGTGGGTACAAATGAGTAGCCAGCAGCAGAGCGGTATTTCTTCTGGGGAAAATAGAGAGGAGCAATCTGCAGAAATTGAACGTGTTCGTAATGGATTTGTTAGAAACAAAAATGAAGGCCAGAGTGAGCAAACTCGCAGGGGGATTCGAAAACTATGTGGCAGACAGGTTTTGCTTGATATGCTAAACAAGGCTGAGAGAGAAAGGCAGAGAGAAGTTCAGGAGTTGTTAGACCAACGGGCAGTATCTCATTTTCCTCATCGCAATCGCATTCAGGTTTGTCCTTGCCAAATTTATTTCTTCGTGGCGAGAATATTTGCTACTTGTCTGTATTAGTGAGTAAATATAGCAGCTGATGATGGGTTATTAAATGTCTGTAGGCATTGCTAAGAGGCAGGTTTCTGAGAAATGATAGGGTTGCTGATAAGAAAAGGACCGCTTCTGTGTCGGACAGTGAATTAGGTTTATTGAGGCAAAAGCAGACTGTATCAGGTTTAAGGTACCGAGTTCTTTCTGCCATTAATTAAGGAGATAATTTCCTATTTCTTTTAATGTGAAGTTTCTCTAGATCTCCTGTTCTTTTGCTTTCCCTTTTTAGAAGGTACGTGGGAAAGAATTGTCTTTGAACTCTGCAACCTTTATTTGGTGTTTTTATATGAATATTGCATAGGATACTGCATTGAATTTCTAAAATGCCACCCGCAACTAATTTACTATTGTTTTTAATTTAATGTTAATGTTATTAAGTTATGTCATAACCATTTGATCTTACTATATATGCTTTTCTGTGCTTTGCATAGATAAATTATACTGTTCAAAGCTACACACACTAGTTTATGTTTGGTGTTCTTGTATCCCATTTCTGTTTCGTAAATCAGTACATAAAATTGCAACCTATTGCCAGAGTTATACCTGTCAATCATTGGAAGATGTCTACATATCGGAAGAAGCAACAAAAGCAAAAATAAATAAATAAATAAATGTGTGGTTATTTTCTAGCGGGCTTTCCCCATGACATCAACTTGTTCTCTGATCAGGGAAGGATTTTTCTCTAGAAAGAACATTTCTGGTTGCAGTTTAGAAAGCAACAATGTACCTGATACCTCATCAAGCAGTGATATGGATGATGCCAGCAGTTCACAACGCTCCCCAAATGTACAGCCCAAACTATCTGAGTTCAATTATCGGGGAACTGATGGAACTCAGATATCAGGTAACGAGGTTTGTCTGCAGGACTCTCCAGCTCATGTTGAAGCAGAAGAACCAAAGGATTTGAAAATTGAATCAAGAGATTTACAGTCATCAATCAATGTTGCGATCGAAAGAATAGATGACACTCCACAAAGTGTTCATGTGGGGTCAACCGAAGACACGTCTAAGGAACTTTCCCAACCACGCTTGCCAGTTGAAGATACAGAGCATTGCTCTGCGCAGGTATTCAGCGAGGACCATAACGAACAGTCTGATCATGGATATTATTCAGAGGGAAATATCATTGATGACGATAACGTGAATGAGCCAGTTGCTCTGGAAGGAGAGCTGCCCATAGATTTTGGAAATGATCGAAGTGATAGTCTTCCACTTGATGTTGAACAGAGAGACAACCCTGAGGGAAGTATGGATCTTGATCATCCAACTTCTCCAGCAAACGACAGGTCCCAACATATGTTGGACTACGAAGATGGCGAAGACCCTCATGTTCAAGAAGCATCTGAATTGCGGTCACAAGATGATGGCGCTCAAGAACCGATTATTGAAAATTTTTCGGGAGGATCTTCTGATCATGAAGGTGCTGCTACAGTTAGCGGAACTCACGTGATTTATTTTTCTGATGATGACAGTGCTTATAGCGGAGAACTCAGTGAACTGTTAAATAGGTATATGTAAATATTCCTGAAGAACTTTACGCTTTTCAACATGATTTGGGATAGGAAAAAAATGTAATCTTAGAGCTAAGAGATTGTTGTTGATGTGGCAGGAGACGTGTTTCTAATCTCCTTAGCGGCGGTTTTCGGGAGAATCTGGAGCAATTGGTACGATCATACGTTGAAAGGCAGAACCATGCCCAATTAGAGTGGGAGCTGCAAGAGGAAGGAGAAGGAGACGACCTGGAGCAGCATGCTATGGATCAGACTGGGGGCCAAGATGGTCCTTATGACAGTTCAATTTACTTGCCCTCATCACCACTTCAATCTTCTCGACCTCTTTGGGACCAACAGAATGAAATGAACAGTCAACACACTGGAATTGTACGTTCATGTTTTTCTAGGCAATAATAGATGATGTTTAAGTTGCTCCATCGTTCACTCCTGGTTTTAGTCTTCTGAAGATACATTCAATATATAATGTGAGCATGCTGTTTTGCAGGAGTGGGAGATTATTAATGGTTTGAGGATTGACATGGCTGTGCTGCAGCAGAGGATGAATGAAATGCAGAGAATGCTGGAGGCCTGCATGGATATGCAGCTTGAGCTCCAACGCTCATTGAAGCAAGAAGTTTCTGCAGCATTGCTTAATTGTTCAGATGATGGGTCAACGAGTATGCAATTTCTTTCCTTATCTCGTGCCCTTCACAGTTCAAATTGTAATGCTTTGTGAAGAATCATAATTAACAAGTTGAAGGTTCATTGATCACAGGATTGCAAGACCCTGATTCCCAAGATGATAACTCTAAGTGGGAGTGTGTGAGGAAAGGAGTCTGCTGCATATGTTGTAAAAGCAATATTGATTCTTTACTGTACAGGTATTCCACCTCAACCCCTCACCCAAATTTGCTATTACTATCAGTTTGGTATTGAGAATTATTATGACTTGAATACTGAATTGATCTTTCAAAATTGCAGATGTGGGCACATGTGTATGTGTTCAAAGTGTGCGAATGAATTGTTGGAGAGCAAGAAAAAGTGCCCAATGTGCGAAGCACCTGTGGTGGAGGTCATACATGCTTATTCCATACTTTAATGTCGACATGATAAAGTCACACTTACAACTGATAAGTCTAGGACTCTAACAAGTTCCATTTTCTCTGGATCTTTCTTTCTTTGATTCCTGTACCTATGTATGATAGGCGCCGCCATGGAACACCCAATGGCATATTTTTGGGCCATTGATTCTAATTCTAATAAATTATCTGTTGTTCTGAATTGAACAACAATAATAATATTGCTAGTAGCTTAATGTTCTTCGCAAAACTGCGGCGTCTCTAAAGCTTGAGCAACTACGGCTTCGTCTCTGGTTACACGTTCCCCTCGCTGTACCTTCTCGCCACGTTACACCATTCTCGACCGTTGACGCTACCGGCTCGCGTCTGACAATCTGATCGCTAGTCGGCTCCACCTTAGCCGACTCTGCCTGCCGTTCCACCGCAATAAATTTGCTGCCCCGGCAAATCGGGCACGTCACGTGCGAGGATAGCCACGTGTCGACGCACTCCCGGTGGAACACGTGCTTACAGTTCGGGATCACCTTAACGGTCTCACCGGTCTCGAATTCGCTAAGGCAAATGGTGCAGTCCTCCTGGTGCTTTCCTTCTGCGTTGTACCGAAACACCGGCAGGGATTGGACGGTGGCACGGTCGAGACCACCGCACGAGGATGACGGAGAATGGTAATAAGAAGACGCCGGTGGCGAGTGCTGGGCGGATGCGGGGGAGTGGTCGGCGAACCTTCGGATGAACAGAAAGATGAAAGCTACTAAGAGCAGGACGATGATGACGATGTAAGCAACGTCAGAATTGAAGGGTACAGGCGCTGATAGTTTCAGAGGTGTTACGAACAGTGAAGACGACAGGGGTGCGGCCGTTAACCGAGGTGGTGAAGAGGCGTCGGAGAAGGAAGGCTCATCTTCGTTCAGTAGAAGCAGTCTCCGGTTGTAGAGTTCCATTTTCTCTGGAATCAGAAAGCAGAAAAAACAGAGTGCTGTCCTTTGTTCCCTTTGGGAGAGGATTGAGGGAATCAATGCGATGAATGATGATGAAAAGCAGAGTAGTGGGGTTTATAAGGTCAGGTTATTTAATGTTTAAGGGGTGGAGATGATGGGGACTAGGATTGATTGTGGGAGCCACCATATCTGGTCGCTGACTCTGGAGTTTACAAGAACTTTACCGCTGAAACATCTTCTCAACTCTCAACTCTTCTTCTTACCATCGCCATACTCTCATATTGCTCAATGGATAAGATAGAAATTTGTTTTCCACATCCCGAATCCACTCCATTATTCAACTTTTTCCCACTCTACGATTTATGGAAAACCCATTCGCCTCTTCTGCGCTTATTTATCCCATACTCAAACCTGAAGCGGTGGAACAAGGCTCGATATTCTGCTAACTTTGTTTGTCAGCGGCAGGGACTGGCTATTTCGTGGTCATTACAAAACCAATAACCTTATCCCCCCATCACCCATTTTTATTGAACAAACGAGGAAGGAGAGAGTCAAAGAAAAACACACCACCGCATATTGTAGCATCCAGTTCAAATCCTAATTCATGGAATATAAAGGACCTAAGCCTCGTGCATGTGATGGAACACCGGTGGATATCAGAATATTCGGCTTCTTTGTATTCTCTTTTCCTTGACTGCTCACGTGTAGTAATTCTTGTTCACTTCAAGATATTGCAGCGATTATATCGCGGCGGACGAGCTAAAACTAAATAGAAGAATCTCGTATATCGAGAATACAATTAGGCCAAGGCAATTAGCCCCGTTTCGGCCAACACTGTCGATAAATCACAGGGCAAAGCATGCATATTTTCATATCAACAAGAAACATAGAACTAACATTACCGACTTAATTACACCATCGCACATTTCCTACATTGCCCTTCCCACAAACTCAGTCCTAGTCCAAGTGGAGAATTCTGGGAATAGCAAACTACCGAACTTAAAATTCAACTAATCTACTACAAGGAGACAACCTAAAAATAAACAAAACCTACACTAATATCCGCTCACAACAACTGATGACTAAAACATGAAAGTAGTTGAAAGTCTAAAGGCCTAGTAATGAAACTACTGACGAGCATCTTCGCTGGACATATAATTGGTGACAGCTTTGGCACCCTCAGCGATGGCATGCCTTCCAAGCTCTCCGGGAAGAACCAGCTTGACAGCCCCTTGGATCTCCCTGGAAGACAATGTCACGCGTCCCGTGTACGTCTTCAGCCTCGTAGCTTCATCCGCAAGCCTCTCAAACATATCAGTCATGAGATTGTTGAGAATGGTCATGGCCTGAAACGAAATCCCCAGCTCTGGGTGAACTTGCTTCAGCACTCTGTACACGTACCTCCTGTACCCTTCCCCACCTTTTCCCGCCTTCTTTCTCTTCCTTCTCGTCCCTTTATTTCCACCACCTTTGCCTTCGTCGGTTCCTTCCTTAATTGGCTTTTCGGCAATTTGGGTATTTCTTGTGTTTTCTGTTCAGGAGTTCAGGAGTCACTTCTTGACAGGAATGGTTCTAACATGGTCTTTGGTCGAAGTGTTTCCTCCTTCCAATTCGGTGTCTTTGTTTGCCCTCGTTGATCTTTTAACAACAGAAACTTCAACCGTTCTTTCTTGGACGACTTTTCTGGTGGATCTGACCACGATATTCTCAGCACGCTTTGGAGCCATTAGACCGTGAATGCTCGGCTGGAGCTTGGTTGTGACGGAAAACTGATGATTTAAACAAGGAGGAGCCTGTTGGAGCAGCAGAGGTTGACGTGTGTGAGGGGTACGTGTCAAGGGTGCACGAATAGAGTAGACTACGTGTGGTTAAAAAGTGAATGGTAACTTAGAGATACTTCTGGTGGATATTGGAGAATGGGTCCCCATGAAATTTCTGGCATTAGTGGCATATCGTCTTTTCCTTTTCTTTTTTCAAATAAGGACCCAAAAAAAAAAAAATCCTTTCCATCTCTATCTGCAGTTATATTAATAATCAATGATAAAATGACCAATCAATATCAAAATTGCGATACATAGGATTGTTTTCTTTTGTGGAGTGGTGGGTTGTATCTTTAGGTCTTTTTGGAGTGTTTTTCTCTTTTCGGATTTTAATTGGCTATTAGGGTGTGTATTTGTTTTTTTGGTTGATTAATAAAATTGACTGTTTTTTGCCCAAAAAAAAATCAAAATTGCGATACTCTATCTATTTTCTGCATTAATACTATTTTTAATTGTACTTTCATCTTTTTGCACTATTGTGTTTAACTGTGCTCATACGCGTTTGCCTTTAGCAGCATGTTATTAAAGCAGCCATATTTAAGCGGACGTTAAGAAAATGAACACTTGGACACTTTTGAAGAATTAACAGGGCGGATAACACCAGATTATCAAATAAAAAAGGATGAAAAAAAATCATAAGAAATTAGACTAAAATTATAAATAAACTCTAATGCTTGGTAAGCGCCTAAGCTGGATGAGGAGTGCACTCACTGGCGGGTGAGAGTCGTATCTCGTATGGGAGTGGCACTTAATTAGGTGGTTCCCACCCAATAAAGAGACAGCAATAATATGGTCGTCGTGCTGTTCTAAATATGACATTCACTTTGTAATATAAATTACATCGGTCTTGTATTTAGAACCGGTAAAGTGATATAGCATTTACTTTTCAATATTCATTATTAGTACTTAATATTTAGTGTGTGCTCCCTCCGATTCCGGCAGCCACCTATGTTATGCATGTTCCTGTCATCTTGGTATTAAGATTATTAAGAGATCATTAAATTCCCTTGATTTATCAATACATCTAATCGAGCTGCGGCAAAAGAAAAAGGAAATCAATACATCTAATCAAAATTTATAGCGCGTTTCGCCTCATTCGGGAATCCTATGGGATGAACAACGCATTCGTCATATATTATTTACTTTATTTGTATGTTTTTTTTTTTATATGCACACGCTCGTTTAATTATAAATTAATTTTGAATGTGGATTTCGTACATGCTTTTAGATGTCTTCCATAACATTCTTTGAAAGAAAAATACGCTAATTAATTAAATAAAATCAATTTTCTTATGAAGTTGATGATATGCATAATGTTCTTTTCTAAATACTAGACTGAAACGAGAGTACCCTTTTCAACCTTGTGTGGATATCCTATTCCTTGTCATTTCATTAGAAGGATCGGAACTACGAACTGGAGAAGTATGTGATGAATAGATATTCAAGAAACATCAAATTTAGAAAATATCGATAATTAATTAACCAGAAATAAAATTAAATGAGGAAGAAAAAAGTAGCTAGCAATGCTAATACGCAGTAGTCATCTGTGTATTTAATTTGATCTTGAAATTATTGAGAGAAGGGGGGAGATGACGTTCCTATATTTACATGATCGTGCTTGTCCGAAAGAGGAGGGAAGAACCAAAATTTTCACACGCACGTGGAATCAACAATTAGAAAAATTGAAATTGCTAATTCATTTGTAGTTGAAATCAAGTTCCATATAATGTTCTCTATATATGCACATATATAGAAGTTATCATGCATCCGTGGAGACCCTTAGGAAAAGAAAGAAGAGATCATGTATGTGTGAAACTACGAGCCACAATCATCCGCCAAATGAAAATTTAAGGAATCAAACACTTCTGCATCTCTTTTGAAGCTTAGAAAAGTCATTCACAGTCACAGAGACGGATTGAAAGAAAGAGTCTACCTCCTGAAGCCTGGTTTCCTCGAAGAAGTGCAACTCGTGATCTGTGAATGATGATCTCCTCGTCAACGTCGAAGATGATGATGATGATGATGGCGATCGTCTTCTCTTTCTTGGAGCAGGAGGGCAATTCTTAATTTCTGGTATTCGATTCCCTGAACCGGTTGGCGTACTACAGTACTCACCCTCTTCTTCCTTCTTCGCTTTCTCTCCTCCTCCTCCTTCTTCCTCCTTATGCTTCCCCTCTGACTCCATTGTCACGAAGCAGATTGCAGCTCCAAGACTCAAAGTTTCAAATTAAGCATCAGAAAGCGTTAACAGTGGAGGTGTGGACGGAAGGAAAACCTAGAGAGAGAAAAAGAAAAGTTTTTTGGAATGAGTTTGGAAACTTTCGGTTCTCTTGGGATAGATTTTGGAGTGAAGCATGAAACTCAGAAGAATGACAGTGCCGTGCGGTTATAGTCGCCCATGACAGCCCCATGTGAGAAACCCCTCATCCTTTCGTTTTCATTACGAGGCCCTTCGTTTCCTACTATTCTCCCCCTTGTCCCTATCTCACTCAATGTTCATCACTTTTATCTTTTCTTTTCCTTTCACACTGATGCTTTCTTTATTAATGGATATATACCCTCTCATTTATTTTACGGCTCAATTATATTATGCCCTTTTTTAGCCAAAACAAATCAATCGGTTTTATTAGTATAAACTCAACAATAATACAATCATCGATGATAAGCAATGCCACATACAGAACCAAAACCTAAACATTTACGACCTAATCCACCAAAAGCTCATCCAAAAAGCAAAAAATTAAAAGCTATCGTCCAACCTAAAGCAAAAAATTAAAACAAATCAACAGCAGAGAACCAATACCGATCTCAATCAACAAATTCATATTGCTGAACTTCTGATGATTCAGTTTTTCGTGCTTTGTTTCTCGTGTGATTTTAGTATGACCCTTTTCTAACTATATATATTTTTGCTGACTTTTATTTTATTTTTACTAACGGTTTCATTACTTATATGTAATTTCTCATTGAGTTTATTTACTTGCTAAAATATATATGCCTAATTTGAATTTTTCAGCTCCCAAGGAAGAAATGCCATCGTAAATTGAAGAGCCGGCAACAGTTCAGATTTGATACATGGCATCGTCAACTAACTTAAGCACTGTCAAACTCAAACGATAATGGCGCTTAATCTTTTCATTCGTGAGATTCAAAATTTTAATCTTCTTATGGGGTCTGTTATATTTACAAGACTACTCACAGTTGATTCATTTTTATCGTGACGAATCTTTTCAATTTCCTTTAATTGAATTCAAGCATCTGATGCATTAGTCAAGTTGAAGTTGATTAATTATCTGCACGTGACGAATCCATTGTCTGATACTTACAAAAAAATTGACAGAAAAGACGTCGCCTTAGGCCTACCAATATCCGTAATCAATAAATTAAACATTTGCTCGCTTATTCATTAATCAGTGGTGCATTTCTTGAAAAATCGCTCGCAATGATATGAAACATCAACCATTTGCACGATTAATGTGTTAAATCTTTCTCAATTTTTTTTTTGCTAAAACATATAAGTATCTTCCTATTGAAGACAATTTTATTCGAGATATTGTTGGTTACTTAACAAGAATTCAAACCTTAGTTCGTTATATTGTAAAAAATTAGCCTCTTTCATTAAGCCCAACTCCTATTAGTTCTCAATTTTCTTATTATATATAGTAAAAGTGACTAAGATTTTAATTTCTTTATTACCCATGACCAAATTATCTTGGAGGAATAATTGGCATTGGGGAGTGGGGACCAGTATTTCCCTCCAGGGAGGGGCTTCCGTTGTCTTCTCACATATAAGTTATTTTGGGTATTTAAATTACAAGCACTCCTATTTAGGAGTGTTTGGGTGAAAACAAAATTATAATTTTAGAAATATTTTTTCAGTGTATAAAGTAAATATGTGAAATAACTTTGCTTTGATTTATAGAAAAGTACTTTTCAGTAATCCAAACAGCCCCTTAGATCTCAAACTATTAGTATATGTTTTTCTAATTTGAAAAAAAAAAACTGCATCGGACACGTGGAGACCCATGAGTGGGAGATTTCGTAGCGAGGCTTTTTTTAAAAAAAAAAAGCAAATTGGTGCCATAGAACAAGTCAGAGGGATGGACTACAAAGGATAGAAACGGGCCAAAAATTCCAACAAGTCAACATCCGAAGAAGATTTTCAATTTTTCTAATGAAAGCGGTGCCTTCACTTTGGGACTTCCGCCGTTATTTTTCCCTCCCTTTTCAAATTTTCATTGGTAATAGGTTGGATAAAGAGTACCATACTTTCTAAACGTAATTTTGTATTTCTTTAATATAAGTTATAGTATTCTATCCTTTAATATCGTTGTCAACTAGAAAACGAGACTTTGTTGCTGGAAGGCTGCACCGAAGCACTGAAATTTAATTCTCCATTCCACTATAGATATAGAAATTATGAAATTATATATGTAAATTGAAATGTTTGTTAAAATTCGTTTAAAACAATAAATATATAAAAACACAATTGGTTTTTCAAAACATCCTTATTTATAGAGTAAGTAGAGAGAGTGTGGGCAATGCAGTGAGAGTAACTACACGACAACTAATTCATGGGGAACAATTTTTTTTTTTAAAATACTGTACTAAAAATATCACATGGTCTGTTACTCTGTCAGTATTTCGTATAAATAAGAATAAATCATCTTAGGAAAAATTCTCACATAGATAATAGATAGATGGGAAAATCACATTAAAAGTACCTATATTTTTTTTCTCAATTTTTAATTTGGTACCTATGTGTTTTTTTCCTCTCTTAATTAAGTCTTTAATTTTACTCTATCAACATCATTAACTCTTGAATAGAGATTGATAATGCCAGTAGAGAAAAGCTACAAAAGTTAATGTCAGTGAAAAAAATAAAATTAAATAATTTAATTAAAAGAAAAGCATATGGATATCAAATTAAAAATCGAGAAAAAGTATAAGTACTTCCAATGTGATTTTACCTCACTGAATAAACAGTGACAACAAAAACCATAGTGTAGTTTTTTTTTTTTTTTAAGAATACTACTGCAATCTTCGTTATTTCTGTTTGTCATGTTCATAGTTTTTTATTAAAAAAAAATCATGACATGCACTACTAGCCAACGTTAAAAGAATATTCTTATATTATTTTTTTTACCAAAATTATATTTTATAATATCATATTACATGCTCTTTTGTTTGTTTAGTTTTTCAAATTAGTTTATAATCTTTACATAGGTAATAGGTTCATAAATAAAATAAGATGATTGTTAAAAAAAGATATTCGCATCACTTTTAGTATGCACAAAAATAATACTACATCCGGTCCTAATTATAGGAGCTAGTTGACTAATTTGAGAAGAAAAAAAGTTAAATTTGTTATTTGTAACAAATATGTGTTGTCTTTTCTAAAATATCCTTATTAATCAAGTATATTGGCTAGAACTACCATTATTAGAAGTATTATTGAGAAAAAATGCATAAATATGAGAGATAAGGTGGATTGAGATCTTATATTTAGGACCAAAATAAAAGTCAAACAAAGTCTTATATTAAAGATCGGAGGTAGTAAATTATAAAAATCGGTAAGTTGTTATTAAGATAACTTATAAAGTCATAATACATGAGCGCATGGGGTAAGGGATTATGAACCACAAAGATGGAATGATGATAAGAATGCTGGACCAAAAAGTAAGGGGTGTATTAATATGCTAATAAAGTAGACTATGTGAGAAATAATTAACGAAGGGAGTATATATTTGCCACTTACTTGAATTTTTAAAAAATCTAACAAATATGCCCTGCGCATGGCGGGGGTTAAAATCTAGTTATATATATGGATATTTGAGAACCATATATATGTTGAAATATAATATCGACATTATCAAAAAAAAAAACATATAATATGAAAAGAAAATAGAGTCTGAATACGATTCAAATGAGCCTGGTTTATTATTGTTAACAATATGAATTAAAGTCATGTACCAATTATCATTTGTATCAACATAATTCACAATTATTAGCTGCAACATGAAATAAGCAGTCTTAGGGTTGATGAGATTGTAAAAGGCCTATACAAAAGTATAGTTGGCACTGGGAGGGACTTTAAAAACACAAATATTGAATCAAAGTATTTAATAAAAATAAAAGGTTAATCATCATTAACATCTAATTCACGCACACATATGTATAAATACATTTATATTGTATTTGAGAGGTGGATCAGATCATGAAAGAAAGAAGGGGACGACATGTGTAAGCGAGATATGAGACAAAAAGGATAATGAGAGCACGAGAACAGATAAGCAATTGTTCCCAGAACGCCTACATTATTCATATACATACATATGTGTATAAAGCAATGATATGGAAAGGAAATTAGGATAGGAGGGTGTATTTACACCTAGCACCCATGTTCTCTCATATCATTATGCAAATGTAAAGTAACAGCATTGTGTGTGCATTTGCAAGCACATCCAGGCTATTATATCCCTCAAAAGTAATATACCTAAACTCTCTGACTTTTTTTTTGCCCACATGGGCGGGGGGGAATCTCAAGCCATGAGCTGGATATTATTATTAACGATTAAGAAAACCAATAAAACGAAGCTTTAACTTAAACACATATCTGTAACGTTAAAATTAAATAAGTAAAAGAAAAACAAAACATATCTTAATTTAACTCATTGTTATGGCCCTAATGGTGCCCTCTGAGGGATTCCCTTCCTTCTTCTTGAATTTGAGTAAGCTTGCTGTGCAGGAGGCCGCGTGTTGCTTTCATATTCTTTGTTATCGTCATTTCCTTCCTCAAATTCATCTTCTTCCCTCGATGATCCCAATAATCTTCTCTGTTCTTCCTGATCTTTCTTCCCTGCCGATGACCCCAGCTTCTTATAATTACTCTCCACATTCTTCTTCTTTATTCCTGCAAGCTGTTATATTAAATTCATCCTTCATTAGTCAAATTCTTTGGTTGCGCATCAACATCACACGTATGGTTGTTTATCTAATGAATCTTCTTGACAAGAATTTTAAGTTTTTTAAGATAAAAAACATTTGATATAATTAAGATTGATCCTTGACTGAAATCTTGACAAATAATTATTTCTTAATTTTTTTCATGGTTTAACACTTGAGTAGGTTTAAGTAACGTTTTGGACAAACTTGTTGGCATCGTAATTGTCTCATAACAAACAGCTTTTCTAACGTACAATTGGGGATTATTATTAAAGTTCGGGGATCATAATTAATGGCATTCTTAATAACGATCGTTGTTAAGAAAGCTACTGATGTTTCTTTGTTCCACTTGCAAAAAACGAAAGAAAACCAAAACAACAAAAGAACCAGAGAGAGAGAGAGAGAGAGAGAGAGAGAGAGAGAGAGAGAAATGCAGAAAGAGCAGTTAGTTCAAGGATGAAAGACCAACCTTACAGCCCAAAGAACAGAAGCAAAAAGGGTCCAAAAGGCTTCTTCTGCATATTTTGCAGAAATGTGGACTGCCTTTACCACCATAACTGGTCTTCGGCTGAGGTCTCTCGTTCAGAAAAATGACCTTGGCACTGTTAATCACGTACGTCTGAACCCCACTTATGTCCAAAACCTTGTCAATCTCTGACACTCTGACAACATCGTGATACGAAGACCTCCTTATCTGCATTTCATTCCCCACAAATTACTCCCACCTGAATTCCTCCGAAAAGAAAATTAACAAACACAGAAACTGGAAGAACCCGACAAGATGATCGCTTTATTATGACCCACCTGAATTACTCGGTGGTGTTGATGCCAAATCGACCTGCAATAAAAGCAAAAACCTGATCGGTGGGTGCAATCGATGCAGAACATGTTGCACTCGTTTCTGGGCAAGCTGATATGTGTCTGGCATATCGTGAAGAATGTGGTCGATAATAGTGGTTCCAGCCATGGCGGCACCAACATTGCTTCCTCCTGACACAGAACGAAACCAGCAAGAAATTCATTAAAAGGACAAAACATTACACAACTGACGTTAAAAGGTTGGCGTTGTTGGTATGGGTATGCATCGCCATTACCGAGGTCGATTGTAACGGTTGGTAATGATGTCCAGACACGCAGAGAAGGACAGGACATACAGGGGGGGGGGAGAGAGACAGGGATAGAAAGAGAGGGAGGGAGGGAGAGGGCGATTAACCAAACTAAAAGCAGGCGAAGGAGTAACATATATAAGGATTGTGAAGGAAACAGTATATTAAGTAATGTGGAAAACAGGGTGCTGGGGAGGGACGGTGGACATTGGAGGGTAGGGTAGGTTAGGTGAATCTTGGGTCGTTGGATTTGGAGGAGAGTTGGGGCGTGTTTGGGAGGTTACATGCTCGAAGCCACCTCTTGTTTTAGTTACACATATTTCTTCTCAGTGGGTGAATCTATAATGCATTTGGTTTGAGAATTGAGATGCGGGGTAAAAGGGAAAAATGGAGAGTGATGTGTAGAGAGGGTGAAATATCGTCAATGTCTGAAAGTTAAAATTCTAGATAGGCCACGTGCAATACAAGGTTAGGCCACACCAAACCCACGCGCACCTTAGCAGCTTAGATCCTCCAATCACCCTTACAAATAATGCAATCACTATATTCACACATCATATAAATTTATGATATGCTGTATTCTTGTTTTTTAAAAAAATATGAACAATATGATTCATTTTTCAGATCTCATGAAATAGATGAAATTCAGCTATCCAGTTTATAATAATATAATTAGGATGAACCTTTTTTTAGCCAAAGACAAAGTGATATTAAAATGAAGCAAGGTTTACAGATTACATGCCGAAAGGAGACAAACAAAAAATGAAGAAAATCATCTTTAAAAACAACATTAAACTTATAAAAATAATAATTTCGAAGAGGAACGAATTTCCTGTTAAGTAATAATTAAATGGCTGATATAATTAGCTAGGACGAACTAATTACGTGTATCCTCCAAATTTTTTGCTCTGCATTTTTTGGGGATACACGTGAAAAAATGGCCATCAAGTTTGGGGATACTTTCGAACCATTTTAATTATTTGTAAATAAATTTCTCACTCAGTAACATCTAATGAGGGGAATATTCGTTGTTGATAAATCAATGGGAAGAGCAGGTAATCCCTCAAACTTCATCAAAAGGCCAGATGTCTAATACCGTGTTCTCTTCCCTCTCGTGTTTTTTTTTTGGCACATTTTTTTTTCGGTGTTGACGCAAACTGCTTAAACACTATTGACACGGAGGGTGAAAATCCAATTTTCCTTTTTCAAGTGACAAGGGTGAAGTGAAGATCCAATTTGCTGCCATCTACGAAGGGAAAAAGGCTGCCAAGTGGCCCAAGAATTGGAACTATTAATGCCCAGGCCCAAATCAAACGTGGCTACATTAGTTGGTTTATAAAGCGATGCATGTCTCTTGGGTTGGTCTCCTCCAAAGCTCAGTGTTTATTACTCCCATAAACCAACAAGTATTGGTCCATATAAAAAAAACTCAAGGCATTTTAAACATCATGTCTTGAATTTGATTTTTGGGATGGTGTGTATAAAAAAAAAAAGCATTGTTGGGAGGAGTCCTCACTATGGCGCTTCACAGTACTTCGAAAGATTAGTCTCTTACCGTTCGGGTGAGAGGATACTCTGAGCAGCCCAAAAAATATATATATATACTCCCATAATTAGTTGTGAAGAAGGTGTGCATGCATGTGTTGGCATGTGATATACAGGACGTGAGATGTGAACGACGTTCATAATTTACAAATAGCATGGCTTGGCATTAATTTTGGATTGTAGAGAGGAGTAGTAAAAGGAAGACGAAACAAGAGATAGGGTTGATATGATGAAGGTGTGGGAAGGCATTTAAGGAAGGTAGACTTTGTGTGACGGGGACGAGGGACAAACAACTCAAGTAGCTATCGAAGACGCTCGTGGCCAACAACATTAAGGATAAAGCCCACATATTCACAGACATATACATACTTGCTCATTCGTTCTTTTACCACGCACACTTCTCTTTTTCTCTTTTCCCTAACACCTTTATATAAAATACTCACATCCCTAATGTTGCTTGCAAATGTCATGTTCACCATTAGATCATTAATACCGTCAAAATTCAAAATTCAAAATACAACGTGTCTTTTTAAATTAGAAAGATAAATACTAACAACTTGAAATTACACGAGGAATTCTTTCTACATCCCCTCACTCATAGAAAATTTTCTATACCAATAAATTGCTCACATTTTGTTTCTTTTCTTTCTTGATATTCATGTTTGTTATTCTTTTCTTTTTTTTTGTTCTAGAACCATTACGTGTTCCCCCGATCGGGCTGCGTCAACCACTTTGGCACTTGAACTTGAAAACGATAAAGCCAAGGTGGTGAATTTTTCTTCTTCTTTTTGGGGGTAATCATGGAATTTTTTGTTGACCACATGGCCTCGCAATCAACACCAAATCTCCAAACACTTCATCAATGTGTCCCCATATTTGGCCCATTAACAATGATCACTCCATAGCCCAGCCAGCTGTATTTGATGTCTTTCCCATTAATCTTTTGAATCAAAATGTCACATTTTATTTATTCTAGAACGGGTTAATTCACTTTTAACCTCACTCTTGTGTTTTCACGTTCTTGATAAATTAAAAAAAAGTCAATATCAATATATGTCAAACATTAAAAAGTTGAGTTCCCTGGAGAATAAAGTGATACACCAACCATAACTGTTCTGTTTGTTCAGCTACATCCAACATAATGATCTTTTGTAATTTTTTATAGCCTGATTATGAATGCCGACTCTGATGGGCTTTGGCTTTGGCATCACCCAACCACCCCTGCTTGAAACTTGTCACTTCATATACTGATTAAATACATTATCTCAAATCTCAATTTTTAATCTTAACAGATTGTTAGTCGAACTACAAACTTTTAAAACATGTCACTTCATATACTGATTGGAAGTCCTTCCTTGTCTCAAAGTTGTTGTCTCCAATCCACCTCCTCTGTCTCCTGTGTTTCAGTGCTTTGCCGAGTTGTTAAAACCAAAGACTTCCCTGGTCCCATGTTTCAAGATTTGACTCAAAATATTGAGAATTCAACCCCTCATCTTGACCTTGGTGACTGATTTTATGATACTTAATCTGCAGAAAAAAAATGCCAAGTTGTGAATTGCCCAATAACAAGGCAGTTGAACTCCAAGTCTAAACTAGAAAGAGTTGAACAACCTTCGTATCTCTGTTTTTCTTGCCGTCTTATTTCTACGAGTAGGTTTATTGGACATTCTTGATTCTTTCGTCGTTGGCTGGTAGGTATAATCATATATTATCTTACATTAAAGGTCCTGTCATGTTTAATAAAAACCACAAGACCCCCTAGTCTTTTTTTCCAAAATTATTGTTCTATGTTAACGTCAGCAGGACCACGAGAAAGATCCATTCTGGGAATGTTATTTTCGTGAGAAAATTTCAAAGTGTGTAAATCTGTTTTACCTTATTGAATCTCACCAGGTTGGTTGATGCCTTAATGGTTTTATTAACACCAACCACTAAAGTAAGCAAATTAAACAATTATGCGGTTGCCACCATTTATGACTAATGATTATCCTCATTTCTTTCCCCAGCTATTATTATCCTTAACTTTTTCCATGCTCCAGAGAGTCGCAAATTCTCCTCTTCCAAATGAAATAATATCTAGCATTGCCATTTCTTTGAAATATACTCTACTAGTAAAACTTGTACACAAAGATTTCCCCCGCGGAAAAAACGGTTATAATATGAGCTAAAACATCTAATCACTTTAATAATATCTCAACTTCCCTTTTTAATGGGATATAAGTACGCCAGATTAGAAATTCAAGGAGTGTGTGCGTGGATATCATACTCACACACGCACACTCACATAGGTATCTTTTGTACAGGTCAGATCACACCCTCGTTCTTCAAATAAAACAGAGCAACCCACAGCACATGAGAATTTATGTGTTTCAGTGCAAGACTTTTGGCTCAAGTAATACCTTTTTTATACAAGGGATTTCAATGTTTCAGTATCACCCTGTCTCTTTTCTCGCTCTATTCCTGGGTTAGTATAACTTACTTGCAGGATGGAAATAGTAATTCACTTCCAATATTCATCACACAAATATATGATAGCAAACAGAGAGTAGACTATTTCTCACAACGACTTTGAGGAAGGAGTCAACTTTTTCATTGAAATTCCCTGCATGCCATGTCCTGATTCCCACTTTGTACCTAACCATTCCAAGCCCTATCTACTTTCAGTTAACTCTTCCTTCATGTTAGGTTTCTCCTTTTGAACCCGTCGCAGAATCTGATATACTCTCTCTATATATATTTAATAAAAAATACTCCTCCTAAATATAAGACCCTTATACTAGTGTATATAAGGGTCTTATATTTAGGACCGGAGGAATATGTTGGCTAAACAGTGGTGGTGTTGGCAGTAATAATAATAATAATACAGTAGATTAATATTTTCTTTGTATAACTTTGTTCCCTGAAGAAAATTGTGTTTTTTTTTTTAAATCCTTCGCGGGTTGCCACAAAAGGGACGTATGAACGAATTCTTTCACTTTTACATCAGAACGAGAAACTTGCTTTTGAGTAGTAATCTCAACTTCTGAAAGAAGGACGCGTTATTTTGCCTCCTATTTTTGGTTTTATTTTATTCTTTATTTCTTCTTTTTTATATAACGCATATCCACGGCTTCCATATTTTACGAGGATTCTGTTACAGGCAATGACAAAACATCCTTCCTATTCGAATAAGCTTCTCGTGTATATAACTCTGCGACCTCATTTCCTGCTAGTTCATTGATTCCTCTGTTCTCGTTTCATATTCATCAAATGGAAAATCTCCGGGTCCTTGTTGTCCCTCTTCTGTTCTTTGGTCTCCTTCTCCATGGAGGAACTGTCACAGCTTTTGGAAACCGAGATGGATCAGAGGAATGGGGATATGTTCAAGTCAGACCCAGTAAGCCAAAATGCATTACGCTGATAATTCACTTTAGTCATTTTGCATCTTCTGTTTGCATAAAAGGATCATCACTTTTGACTTCAATATGTTATATTACAGAAGCCCACATGTTCTGGTGGCTTTACAGAAGTCCCTACAGAGTTCAACATCCCTCCAAGCCATGGCCTATCATTCTTTGGTTGCAGGGAGGACCTGTAAGTATCATTGGATTCAGCCAGAAACTGATCAAGGCTCTGTTTTTACCCAGGAATTTCGATTTTGAAATGATCCCTAAAAGCTTACAATTTCCAAATTCTGATGGCCGATGAAATGGTTAGCTCAATAGATAACAAGTCATAGTATCTCTCCATGATTAACTATCTAGACTAGATTCCGTTTCTCTGAGTATCCTTTAAGAAAAATTTTGAGTTGACCAAACTAATATAGTAGAATATACCCTTGAAATTACCAGCATTGATGATAATGACATCAAGAAATTCCTTAATTGGTGTCAACGATGAACAGGGTGCTTCAGGAGTTGGGATTGGAAACTTTGAGGAGGTTGGGCCTTTAGATACCAATTTGAAGCCGAGGAACTCTACATGGCTTCGAAAAGCAGATCTCCTATTTGTGGTGAGTGTTAAGGCTCTAGTGTTTTCAAGAGAGGCATTTGGTTTATCTTTGGCGTGGCTTTTTTGGGTCAATTCTTTTTGGTTCTGTTATAATGCAGGACAACCCAGTTGGGACAGGGTTCAGCTTTGTGGAAGATAAGGGCCTCTTTGTGAAAACAGACGAAGAAGCAGCCACTGACTTGACGACATTGTTGATTGAGATATTTAATCGAAATGCTAGCCTCCAAAAGAGTCCTCTCTTCCTCGTAGCAGAGTCATATGGTGGAAAATATGCTGTCACTCTTGGCTTATCTGTTCTAAAAGCTATTGAAGCTGGAAAATTGAAGCTCAAATTTGGAGGTAATCCCTTGTTCAAAGTGGTTCTGAATCTATGAATGAGATTACTATGTCATTGCGATTTTAGAAATTGCTGCATCGTATACTAACGTGAGAAAGCCGTATGCAGGTGTGGCATTAGGGGACAGTTGGATCTCCCCTGAAGATTTTGTGGTAAGTACAGGAATAGGTTTGGCCACGAGTTTTTGTTGGTAAAATAATTTATTACAATGGACATAAATGTTATCCAGCTCTACTCAACAGTCCAATATAAGAATTTCTCATCTTTTTCTTGTTCTTCTTTACCATTAAACCCCACAATTTCAGTTCGCATGGGGCCCTCTTCTTAAAGACGTCTCAAGACTTGATGACAATGGGCTGCAAAAATCAAACCGGTGCGTCTGTTTCATTTTCTCTCTCAGATAGTTTGCGTGTATGTGTAAACGGTTATTGTACCTTTTTTTTTTTTTTGGGAAAAAATTAACTAAGAAATTTCGGAGAACAGTTTAGCTCAGAAGATCAAGAAACATATTGAGAAGGGCCAATTTGTTAACGCAACCAGCTCATGGGGCGAACTTGAGAATGTCATTATGAAAAACAGCAACAATGTGGTGGGTATTTATGATTTTTCAATGGGATAGATATCGTGTAATCCAAAAAGAGCCAAGTTTCTGAAAGGTGTTAATATTTTACGTTTTTCCAGGACTTCTACAATTTTTTGCAGGATTCTGGAAGCAATTCTCCAACTTTGTCTGCAACGGCAGGGCTGGGGTCATACAGAGAAACAGCACTGAAACGATACTCCAATTATCTAACTTCAAAGAGGTCATCTTCCAATAGTGGTGACCTAAGAAGCTTGTTAAATGGTGTCATCAGGAAAAAGTTAAAGATTATCCCTGAAAATGTTACGTAAGTGTGTCCCTACACTAGAAAAGAGAACTGTACCCATGAGTTCACTTTCAACTATTGACTTGATCACCTTCACATGGCTACTGCGATGACAGATGGGGAGGACAGGGCAGTGAGGTTTTCGCAAATCTTCAAGGCGATTTCATGAAACCAAGAATTAATGAGGTAAGGATGTAAGTGTAAAGCTTGGAACTTTTTTGGTTTTAACTTCTAACCCTATTCAGAAATTCACGTGTTTATTCTATTAATTACTTAATTTAGGTTTTTTGGGCCAGAAACACGTAATTTATATTCATATAATACTGAAAATAGTCGTTGATGCTAATAAACATCGAACATATTTCTCCTAGACGTTTCAAAAGCTTTCTTATTACATAATTGCGATTCTTTTGATCTGAATCTTTCAGGTTGATGCGTTGCTAGCTAAGGGAGTCAAAGTGACTGTGTACAACGGACAAGTAAGATTTTTTGTTTTTTCCACCGCATTTAGTAACGCGATGATAAATGGGTTTATTATGAAGACTTTTGTTACGTAAGACATATAACTACGCACAAATTTTAAATTTTTTTTTGCGCATAAATAAATATTTTATGGACAAAATGTTTCTGATACCCTGATCTGATATAGGTTGATCTGATCTGTGCAACCAAGGGAACTGAAGCTTGGCTTAAGAAACTCAAGTAAATCTTTTTCCCTCTCTAGCTCTCCGTATGATTCTTCCCTTCAAGATTGATAAAAGAAGACGGGTTTTCCCGTATAGGTGGAAAGGGCTTAAAAGCTTCCTGAAGAAGGACAGAAAACCTCTCTACTGTAAAAATGAGCGAGGCACGAAAGGCTTTTTGAAGTCACACAAAAACCTGCACTTTTATTGGATTCTCGGAGCTGGTCATTTTGTAAGTCACAATCACCTTCGATTCCAATCCCATTATCGATAACATATTGCTGACTGGTCAAGCATTTCTTTCCATCCATGCCATAATCACGTAAATTCCGAGATTATAAGAATAAAAATATCACTGCTCATGCAAACACTCTAAAAGGGTTGGTGTTTATCTCGAACAAATGAAATGAGCTTTCGTCCTGTAACATCTTCTAGGAATCCAGGTTTTGTAATTTCAAAGGGAGCAATGTCTTAAAAACGCAGAAAGTCTATTTTTTGATAGGGGTGGGAGGTTAGCCTGCTAGGCATTTATGAAGGGAATACTAAGAGGTCAGGCGAAGTGGAATGGGGGATACTTTGAACGTTGAAACTGGAAACATAAATGGAGACAGGAAGCGAGTCATAAGGAGTGAAGAAGGGACATGTTAATGGAAAAGCAGGGGCACTTGTTTGTTTGAGTCACCTCACAATTTATTTGGTGCAGGTACCAACTGATCAGCCTTGTGTAGCATTAAACATGGTGGGTGCGATTACACAGTCACCAGCCGCTTCTTAACTTGCAAGACACAGCAAAATAAGAAACAATAAGCGTACAAGAAACTGAATTCCTTCATCAGTACTATTCAACAGAAGCGAGACCCCACAAGCAAACTACGTCGACAACAGTACCATACAACTGCAAAACTAGTCATGAAAAACAGAGCTACCGCTTACACAGATGATATTTATTGTTTACATTACAGTCTCATTTTTTAGAGCATACATAGTTCTCTACTTTTTTTTTTCCTCTCCCTTTTAATTGAGCAGACCTGTACCGTGCTGGTCACCCATTTGCCACAGTTGAATTCGGTTCTGTGAATAGATTGATGGTGGATTGGGTTTCTCTCTCATTACCCAGATTATAGACCTAAAAGCTAAGCCCTAGTCTAGGATTACCTAACCGGATCAAACAAATTCGGCAATTTACGGGAAACAAGCACAAAAAGGAAAATCGACGATCGATCCAAACCATAAAATGTCTTGTTTTAGACTACATGCACAACCAAGCTTGTTCACCCAAAACGAAAAAAAATTAAATTAAAAATTATAGTTCCCATTAAAAATGATTAAAATTATTATCTTGGTCACTTTTTTAATTTTCATCCTAAAACAAAACATATTCTCACGTCAGACTACATAGTGTCATTTTGTACATTCATACTAGCTTCATATATAAGGAAAAATGACCATGAAGTTCCCGAGAAAGAAGATTTTCAATTCTTCCATGCTCTAGTCTATTATTAAACATGTTTCCTTTCGTCATGATTACATATTTTTGGACGGAAATTATTTATTTAATTTTTTTGTTCTATTGTTATTGTTCCTCGCGATCGTATATTATTGACAAATAACAATATCACACTAAGCTCCCTTACAAAATACACTACATAAAATTTTTTCAATATTTCAATCCAATGGAATCACATAAACAACGTCTAACAATGGCATCATAAATTTCTTCGTATACCTGTGGAAGAATTTCACTATACTGATTTAAAACTCATTATATCATGAGATTCAAGGCTACAATTACAGCTTATTTTGACAAGATTATTATATATTACAGGGCACCGAAGATACACGACTCGGAAAGTACTCCAAAACCTTGCAATTAAATAACATCCAATATACACTGCTCTCACAAACAGCTGCCGAAATGAAAAGATAAGGGGAAAAGGAACAAGATCTTCTAACATAAGCTTTGCCCAAAACCAAAACCTTTTTTTTTTTGGGAAAAAAAAAAACCTCACTCAATCTTTTCCAAGACTTCCAACCTGGTTTTTCTCTTCCAACCTTTCATCGAAGCAACAAGGTTTATCAACCCAATAATCTGACTTTTCGTGTATTCCTGCAAAGAAGAGGTGTTTCGGTAAAGCTCAAGCAATCAGAAAGTCTAATGATGCAATGGACATGTAATGTTCTTACGGGGTGTGCGCGAGCCCAGTGCACAAATTCTGTCTCTGGAAGATAGTAAGCCTGCATTAAGAGTGAAAGGCAAAGATGAATCCTCAAGTAATAATACATCTTTATTCGCATAAATTTCATGCTCCTGAGGTGCAAAATCATATGATAAGGCATCATCACAGAACATCAGAATGTTTTGTCATGCTTATTCATACCTTAATGAAGGTTTCAACCATTTGCAGCTTGGGCTTCACATTCATGGACACAAAATGATGCAGTCCATTAATTAAAACCTGCAAGGTGGAAAAACAACAAACCTAACACATCATGTAAACTGAGTAATTTTGGCACTATGAAATGAAAATTCATATTTATTCACAAAAGAAATTCAATGACCTTCAAATTTGATTACCATTCAGATCCTAAAATAGAATATAGTCTTGAAAGATTAACAATTAAAAGAAAAAGAGGCATTTGTATACAACTTGTCTGCTTCTGGTCAAACATGAAAAAGGGAGTTTTTTTTTTTTTTTTGAGCTGAAGAAAAAGGGAGGTTTGCAATTTAGGTTTTGAAGAGCAAATCAGACACCAGCAACCTTTTTCATAACCATTGATTATGTAAAACTCTATGGAAGATTAAGATTGAATCAACATAATTATCAAACCTCCCATTAGCACCAAATCCAATCTTTCCAGAGCACTAACAAATATGGTCATAGTTCAGAAATAACCTGCAGATCCAATGACATTAAAGCTCGGCCTTCGTCACTACATCTCTTTACCCGTGAAAGTCCTTCTACAAGAGTTTCCGCCACAATATCAAGCCCATATTCTAAGAGTAGGTCTTGAACCTACATTTACAGAAGCACTTGCAAATTTAATGCTCACACGTTTACACATTCTGTAAGCAATGCGATCCATGCATGAATTATGCTAATAACTCCATTGGCCAAAGTAGAAAATGCGGCTGCATACAAGTTTCATATAGAAAGTTTAAGTAATACTTTGAATCACACTGCAATGTTTGCAGTTGTATCCAGTCGTGACTTTAATGTTGTGTAAGTAGCCTTACTTTACATGTAACAATATAGGATGCACATGCATAATGAGTATGGGTATGAGCAGTACCTCTTGACGAATTCCCCCATGAGCAAGACGTGTTTTATAGTGCTTAAATTCTCCAAGCAGCAAATCAACATACCTATATGTACAACAAGTCAAGTCAGAAGCGAAGAAAGAATGTAGAATGTTCTCAAGGGACAATAACACTTTTGGGGGGAAAAAAACACTACAGCTTTGCATTGATAAACAATATAAGCAATGCTGGCATCAAATTCAACCGGAAGTAAAAACTGGTTTAAATTAATGACACATTGGATGCAGTCAATTTGATTGGATTAATTGGTTAACTGTTGTCAAGAGACTTGGTACGATTGGACTCTGTCTAGACCAAACCAATAAAAATCCCTAATCTTTAGACTTGCTGTGGGAAGAACAGTCCCTTTGGCACCCATCTGATGCTCAACTCATGATTTTACTCATGAAATCTCCTCAAAATAAACAGCACTGGAGAGATCTTTTACTGCCAACTTCTTGATTAAGGAGGTTATCTCATCGTCCTCATTGAATTCCTTCTTCCTATTTTATAATGACCTTCTTCTAACGTAGAAAAACAGGGTAAATAAATTTAACAGCCACTCTCCAGATTTGGTGTCCCTTGATTCAAGACCTTCCAGTCGCACTTCTTTTAGTTTTTGAGTAAAAACTTCATGCTCTCCAAACAGTTCAAGACTAAGTTTTTAACTTTTCGTCTGTTGAATAATTAGGACTTCATCCAAAAGACTAAAACAGAACAAAGTGAACCCCAGACCAGATATCTAGCCAGAAAAGATCAGACCTAGAAAAAGGAGTACTGAAAGGCAAGAAAACTAAAGGGGTAAAGAAAGTATTCTCCAAAGAAAAGTAGGAGTCCGACACCAACAGGAAAAAAAAGCTCTAAATAGCAGATTCTTCTCCCATGAAAAGATAGGGCAAAGGCCCAAAAATAGATTTAAAAAATAACATATTGAAATCAATTGTCAATTAATATATGAAAAAGAAAACCAAGTGCTCATTATAAAATAATAAAGGTAACACAAGAAATCCATAGTAAAAAATTCTCTATGTGCTTACCATTCGGGGGACATACTCAGCAGCTAATTCCACAGATCACAATGGACAAGTGATACAAGCAAGTATATAAATAAATATAAAACATAACGATGATCCAAAATTACAAACCCATTATGCTCTAGCCCAAGCTCTTTTACTTCCCATCTACAATTGGCAACACGTTCAACATACCTGAAAAACGTTAGCTATTACATTAAAAATTCATAACCCTAGAAAGGCAAAAGTGCTAGTTTAAGATTATCAAAATACCATCTCATCCCAAAAACTTAAACTGACAGAAGAACGCCCAAGAATTTTTTTATTTATTGTCTCTAAGATGCCTGCAAAAGCTATTTTGGAACATCCCCATCAAAAGAAAAGAAAAGAAAAGAAAGAGACAACCCCCAAGAGAAAAGCTATTTGCACTTTGAAGCCCCAAATTCAAATATTATTTACTTCATTCAAACCGATAGCAGATTTAACCATATTGACACTTGACCTTTTTGGTAAGACATCATATGTTGACTTATTGCTGTTAATGGCCGCATCTAGACACACAGATAAATATGATCATGTGGGTGCATTATAGTTATTTCATTTTCCACACACATGCACATGAATTTATTTATTTATTTATACATTTATCTTTAATAAGCTCCAATGCAGTGAGATTAATGAAGGATTTTATTATAAAATAAAAACTCTGGATGGCAACCACTGCAGTTTTCCTCCTTCACAAGTACCAGAAAATTTATCCAAGCTATTAAAAGCTCAACATGGAAACTACATTTTTGCCATGTCTATTAGATAATCTAAAAATTATATTTACCAAGATTATTTCCAAAGTAAACTCATAGCATCTAGCATGGTAAATATTCTCCTACCCATTGATATGCAGTAGTTGTCTTGCTGTTGTCTTATGAATATGCTCTGCAAGATCTGGTACGGCGTCCACCTAAAGAAATCGATTAATCAAGGACACCGGCATCCATACTAAAGCCTTTCCATATAAAAATGATATTAAACAATTCAATAAATTAGATATAAGAAAAGCTCATGAAAACAACATCCTAACAATCAAACCATTAAAATCTTCAACTGCAACAAGGTAATCCAAATATGATCTCCCACTGGTAGTTGGTATGTTATATTATACAGGTATAAATATGCCAAATAAGGCTTAGACAAAATGAGGTTGAATAATCCTAGCTCTCTCTCCTAATCCATGAAAAATAACATTTAAAAGTGTGTAGTGTTATACAACCATGATCAAATGCATGAAGAAGCGCTAGACAGTGCTTTAACTTGAAACAATTGTAGATATCATTATAAGCAGAAAATATATTTTCTTTATGTGAAAAAAAAAAAAAGTGGCATTCCCATTTCTTAAGGATTTCTGCTTTATCTAATCCATAACATTCACATCCTTATGATTGGGTCCCATTCCATTGTGTCATGTCAACAAAGATTAATCTAGTTGGTAAAAACTCGGTCCATCCCCACAAGGGCACAAGATCAAATTCTGCTATTAATATGAGAACCCAGTTAATCGTAATCTGTAGATTCCTCTATAAGTACTATGAGGTAAGAGGCTTGTCCTAGCTCTAATATGCCCTGGAAACCCAACTACCAAAACTTTCTTTGAAGAAGGAAAAAATTGATTGGATAGGTTATATGCTGACTTAACGATCTACCCAACTAATGCAGCTAAGTTACAGATATGCCACATACCAGATGCTGATAGAAATCCTCAAGTACAGTAGCGTTACTTTGCAAAAGCATTGATTGGAGATGA